GGCCGCCAAATTAAATAATTTAAATGTTTTTGTTTGTTTAATGTTTGGGATTGCTTGAGGACAAGCAATAATTCAAGTTTGGGGGTATTTGATATGCTTATATTTTACCTATTTATTATATCCCTAATTTGTGATTTTTGCAATATATTTTGAGTACAAATATGCTATTTATGTGATTTTATCTTTAATTGTAGGAATTGTACTAAAATGAAGAATTGTTGAAGTTTTGAGCTAAAATCAAATTAAAAGCAACTCAATGGGAAAGAATTGAAGATTGAAGCAATTGATGGGGAGGAAATTAATGAGTTTAGAGAATTGGAGGGCCAATGATGTAATTTTGGATTGGTTAATTAAGTTTTTGGAAAATTGGCCGAGAAGGTTATGGTTATGCGGCCGATTTGGGATTGGAATTGGATAAGAATTTTAATCCCGATATTATTTGGGAAACAAGTTTTCTTGTTCTTCAAGGAGTAGGGTTTAGCCAGAAGCCTATAAAAGGAGGATTAGGGATTTATTTTTACAACAGAACTAAACCGAAACTTGACCGAAAACCACCGAACCCTACGGTTAAAACCTCCATCACCGCCGACCACCACCAAACTCCCTCCTCCTTCGCCGCCTTCCTCTTCACCGCCGCTGTGCTTCCATAACCACCACGCAGCACCAGCCCTCCTCCACCTCTTCACCTCTCTTCGGCAGCATCATCACCACCTCTGCTTCTTCACGCCGAGAAAGCCAGCAGCACCCTACTCCCTTGCCTTCGCACACACAGCAGCAGCACCTTCTCCATCATCCTTCGCGCAGCACCCACACCATAATCACCACCTTCAATCTCCTCCACCGGCGGCATCATCATCCACATCACCACCGAAGCAGCAGCCGCGAAGCAAAGCGAGCAACCGGCGGGGAGTTTGGCGGGGAGTTTGGCAGGATTTTTGGCTTCATTCGGTTTTGAAGTTTTAATTTATTTAATTTTTTTTTATTTATTATGTCTCTAAATATTATTGAATTAATTTTAATAATGTTTAGTGGCTAAATTCTTTTAATCTAGGGCTTGGGTGTAGCCACCGAATTTATTTGGTTTATTTGGTTTATTTTTATTTGATTTTTCCATTAATTAATATTTGTTATTCTTGTTTTAATTCGTGTAAGTAATTGGCCACTATTTACATGTCTGAAGGTATTAATCGAAGTAGCGAGAGTGGAAGATTAATATTAGTTCGTAGGAATAATAAACTTAGGTTATAAAGCTACGAGAGTAAGATTATAACCTTTGCAATATTTGATTCTTAATGGTCTTAATGTGCTTTTGTTAATTCCTATAGTCACGAGAGTAGTCATAGGGTTAATCTAAGTAAGAGAATTATAACACGAGAGTGTATAGTTCTTAATTAGGTGAATCGTTGTGAGATTAATGGAAGTTAAAAGTCAGATAGTTATGAATTGAACTAACCCAAATATTCGGTAGGTGAACCCAATGTCCTAGATTTTCTTTGTCTGATTACTTGAATTAATATTATTTATTTTTATTTTATTTATTTATTTTAGTTTTAAATTTATAAATCTGAAATCATTATTTATCTAGATAATAATAGGAGTAATTTATACCTGGTAATTAGTATTCCTTCTCTGTGGGATCAACCCTGCTTGCTACTTTACTACTAGTAATTGTATTAAGTAGGTAATTATTATTTGACTAGTGTGACGACGGTTTGTCACGCGGGTATGATTGATGTCCCAAGTAGTATCGAAGAACTTCGGAAGAAATAAAAATACATCACTCAAATTGGAGCATTTGATGCCTCACTTCAAACTTGGGCATTAAACTCATTGACCTCTTGATGATGTAAGAGCAACATTAGAAATTGTGAAATATTGTGTGGGTGTGCTATTTTTGGAATCTGGCATAGTTTCCCAACTTTCTACAGATACACTGATGTTCACTCCAATGAAGACAGTTCGTAATCCAAAGAAGATGGAGAAGGAAGTTGTGACTAAACCAAAGGTATCAATATCAACCATATCCCCTAAGGAGGATTCACTCGACCATGTCCATGGTATACGGTTCCTTGGGCAATTATTGAGACGGGGAGACCCTAATATCTTGGAGCGCAACACCATAATCATCACAGAATGGGAGTTAGGTAGTGTAGTTTTGATCAAACAACATTTTGTCACCACTGAAAATGAATCGGAGCTCCTGGTGCGGTTGATCAATGAGAGTCAAACACACTAAACTGGTAGAGGTAAAAAGTTAAACTAAAATAGGCCTATATATATATATATACATATATATATATATAGAGAGAGAGAGAGAGAGATCGGTGGGGAAAGATGAGGCAGAATTTAGACATATCATTAGTTCTCATCTCCAACCAACTTCATTTTCTTTAGTGACTTCTTTTGATTTTACTAATTTTGTGTCTTATGAATTTGAAAGAATGTTTCTTGTTCATGTTTTTATTTTCTCGTTTTGAAGATATTTTGCTCTAGACTTATTTTTCATGTACTCATGACGTGTTTCCTGAATTAAATGATATAAAAAGCTTAGTGTGGATCTTAATAAATTTAAGTTTTGCATAAAAAAAAAGTTATTATTTTTCTACATCCAAGAACTACTCTTTTTTTATAAGTACGAATTACTCTTTTTACCGACCCTCCAACTTGAAAGTTCTAGTTCCGTCACTGGCATGGGTTGTCAGAAAAACCCTATGATGATATTTTGAAATTATTCAAGGATTCAATTCCTCCGAAAAATAAAGCAGTCGACAACTTTTAGGAAACAAAAAAGCTGGCTTGATTTGGGTCTCCTATGTGAAAAAATCCATGGTTGTGTCAGTGAGAACATGGGTTTGATAAATTGCATATTTTGTGGTCATCCTCATTATAAACCGTGAAAGGCAGGTTTTAAGAGAGAAGAACTGAACGGCCATATCATATCGTGCATTACTTTTCTTTCACTTCTAGGCTTTAAACGTTGTATGCTTCTGAAATTACGGCAAAGCACATTCTGTGGCATATAGACCATAAACAAGGTAAAGATGAGTATGATAAATAAGGTGTTATGTTTCATCCTTCTGATGGCAAGGCATGGAAGCATTTTGATGTTGTAAATCAATCTTTTGCATTGAAATGAAGAAATGTAAGACTTGGTTTATGCATGGATGGGTTTCAACCATTTGGACAGTCAAATATGCAATATTCATGTAGGTTAGTTATTATTACTCCATATAATTTGTCACCATCGATGTACATCAAAGAGGAATACATGTTATTGACCATTATTGTGTCAAGTCTAAAAACTCCAAAGCAAAAGTTATATGTTTATTTGCGGCCTTTGATTGCTAAATTGTTAGATCTTTGGGAAAGGTGTTCCGAATATGATGTTTTTAAAAAAATGAACTTTCATATGAGGGTCACACTTTTGCAGATCACTGGTGATTTTCTGACTTATGAATTGTTGTTTGGGTTGAGCAGGGCCGGAAAACAAGTTTGTCCATATTGTATAGAGACCTCAAAGGCATTTAGTTTAATCATGGCAATAAGATGTCTCAGTTTGATTGTCGTCGCCAAAATTTGCCGGAGGATCATTCTTCTAGAACAGATAAAAATAATTTCAAAAAAAATTAGACCGAAGAGTATCTCCTCCGACATTGACGGGTAAAGATGTTTTAAGACAAATTTCAGATTTGGAGCTAAAAACACTTACTGGAGTTGATGGAGGAAATGTTGAATGCTTCAAATATGCAAGTTTGGGGATTGGAAAAAAAAAAGAGAATATTTTCGGATTTGCCGTATTGGAATACTAACAGTATCCATCATAATATTGATGTCATACACATTGAGAAAAATATATTTGAGAATGTGTTTAAGACGGTGATAGACATTGAAAGATAAAGTAAAGACAATGCTAATCAAGAGAGGATATAAAAAATTTTTGTAGGCGTAAAGAGTTGGAAAAAGATGAAGCAACCGGCGAGTATCCAAAAACTTACTTTTCATTGGGCAAAGCGGAGATTTGTGAATGGGTGGCACAACTCAAGCTCCCTAATGGGTATGTTTCAAATATGGGTACATGTGTGGACTTGAAAAAGTACAAGTTATTTGGGATGAAAAGCCATTATTGCCATGTATTGATTCAAAGACTAATCTGTATTGGTTTTTGAGAAATGTTACCAACCAATGTGTGGAAAGCTTTGACCGAGTTAAGCTTTTTATTTAGAGATCTCACACGTACGGAGATAAAGGAAGAAGGTATGATTAATCTCCAAAGGGAAATTTCCATTATTTGTGGAAGTTGGAGAGAAAATTTCTGCCAAGTTTCTTTGACTCCATGAAATATTTTTCAATTCATTTACCCTATGAAGCGAAAATAGGGGGGTCCGTTCAATATCGTTGGATGTATCCATTTGAAAAGTGAGTTCAAATTTTTGCATTTTTAATGTTTTATTCTCTCTGGAGTATTCATGTCAAAATAGGTTATCTATGACTTAGGTTCTTGCAAAAATTGAAATTGAAAGTCGTAATGATGTTGGCGAAAGTTCAATTTGTAATGATTATTTAGTATAGGAAAATTCAATACTTTGCTCACATTACTTTGAGTCTCATGTGAGCACAAAAATGAATGGAGTGAGTCATAATGATGATGACGAAGCAATGAATTTCAATGAAAAGAATCTACCCATATTTACATCCCTGGGACGATCATATGGGCAAGCAATATCAAGATGCTGACCGATGAAGAGTATGATGTTGCAAGGTCGTATCTCTTATTAAATTGATAACAAATTGATGAGTATATCAAGTTAGTGTTGGGTACTCATTTAATTTAGTTAGTTTTTCCTCTGAACTTCATGTGACATAATTAAATATATATGATGAATGGTATTCATTGAAAAGTTTCATGCAAAAGAACCCAACATATCTGATGTATTAGGTGATATTAACCTTGAGAGAGAATTAGGCTAATATCATATTTTCTACAGTGCATCTGTTCCCTTATGATGGCTACTGATGCAAGATCTGAAACGGCTGCGGGAATGAATGGCATTGCATCTAATGAGGAAGAATTTAGCACAACAATTGTAGCTGCAATCTGCCAATATTCTAATCCGGCTGCCCCTAGTGAATTGGAGATGGGTATTACACTTGCTGCCGATGGAAGGGGTACTAAGACTGATAAAGTTACTGGACAAACAATTATTACTTATAAAAATTATGTGAAACTGTATACACTGTCAAACCAACTTGTAGTTGGTTTTGCTGGCCGCACTGGCCCTGCAACATGTCTCCTTCAAGGCATGCATGGGGCTGGAATTCAAACAGTTTCAGCTCCAAGGGCTTGGTTGGCGACCGAGTTAGCAACAAATATTGATCCAACAAGTCCCTCTTTTAAGAAAGTTAGAATACTTTTAGCAGGGTTTACCAATTCTGTTGCTGATGTTTTTTGGGTGGAGTACAATGGAATTTCTCACTCTATAACAGCTCTTACTAAAAACATCGGAGCTGTTGGGGCGATAGGGGATGGAAAGATACCTGTGGAGGTGGCAGCAATTGGTAAGTTTGATACTGAGATATCCCACGCAGAAGCTTGTTACATGGTAATGGATGCATGTTTCTATACAACTAAAAATGATAAGCTTACAGGAGGCTACGCAACAGGTGTGTGTCTTGGATCGAATACCGCTTTGTTCACCTTTAAATCGCTACAAATGGTGGATTACATGCCTCAAAGGAACATTCAAGGGAATCTAAAGTTGCCTGACGGAAACAACCTCACTCAATCTCCGAAATTTCTTGATCCTAGGTTCATAGTTCCTTATCTTTGAATGAAAATGTCGGTCTTGTGATCCTTGTTGGCTCCCTCTAGTGAGTAGATTTGTTTTGATGTAATTCTTGACATGTTTCTTTGGAACTGTGAACTGTGAATGTCATGTTTCTTTGGAGTTCTTTGAATTTGACTATTGATTTGATGAATTTCAGAAAATTGACCGAAAGTTTTCTACTCTTTTGATCCAAAAAAAAAAAAAACCTTGAGAGAGAATTCAAGGACTGGTTTTTACCTATGTTAGTGTTTCACAAGTACCTAGGTAATATTTTTTAGTTTTATTTCAATATTGACTTTGGATTTGTTATATAAGCACATGATTCAAGGAGCAACATCAGTAGTAAACTCAATAAAGATGACGCTCTTGGCTCCTTAAGAAATGTGAAGACTTTTCCAGTTTATTTTGTTAAGGGGTATAAATTCCATACATGTGAGAGTAGAGAGATGAAATCAACAGTCAACAGTGGAGTGTGCATAAAGGAGTTTATTTATAGTGATCAATCAAGTGATTATTATGGAACTTTGTCAAAGATTGTAGAATTAGAGTACCTCACACCTCCTATCAAACGTGTTGTTTTGTTTAAGTGCCATTGGTATGATACAACTCCAAATATGGAATAAAGTTCATAAAGAATACATAATTGTTGATATCAACCATAGAAGAAGATTGGACAAGTATGAACCTTTTGTTTTTGCTATATTGCACGCCTTATCTAAGAATGAAGAGAGACAAAAATGATTGGTGGGATGTGTGTAAAATCAAGCCTAGATCATGTATCATGAATGGGCCATTATGAGTCATATAGGGGGTGAATGATATCATATTGAGGTTCTCATCGCGTTTCTGGTCGAGATACAGAAGTCAACAACAAAGTCGCCAGAGGCCTGTCGAGCATCCTGTTGGTAGACAAACATGTCGGCGGAGCTAGGGCAAACTTTGCCGGTTTTCCTAGTTCGAATGGGAAAAGGATTTTTCCGTAATTTTCGTACATTGGCCGACTCTTTAAGCCTTTTAAACGATTCTATTTGGTTCTAAATAATTGTGACATGTACAATTATTTTATTTTGTAATTTTTAAGTTTTATGAGATTTTAGAAAACTTCTAGTCCGAGAAATCCGAATAAGAGTTGTAATTAGATTTCTCTTCCTCCTAGCCGACCTAGGCCGTCCCTTGGCCTATGAATAGAGGTCCTAGGTGTGTATTTTCATGGTGACTTCAATTATAAAGACTTTTATTTATAAACTTATGAGATCTCTCCTTGTTTTTCTTATTCTTGCGAGAATAACTTGATTTTCAACAAACTAGGGTTTGTTCTTAAAGCGTAGCTAACCTTGGCAAAGTTTTCACATGTTCTTGGTCTGTGGTGCTTTATTTGGCATTTTAGTTGAGTATACCAAGCCTTTCAACATTTATTTATAACGTGTGGGGAGTTTCGGGTTGTTTTGACTAGGGTTTCAAATCTTAAACATCTTCTTCATCTCTTCTTCCTTGCCATCACATTTTTGGCTTGGATTTTTGTTGGTCCAGATATTTCTTTTTGTGGTTTTTGTGCTTGCATAGGTTATACTTCGTGGTTATATAAAGATTCAAACATCCAGGCAACTTTTCAAGACAAGCTTCCGCAATAATTGCGCCTCGGAAAAAGATTCATATAAAAAATAGTCATCATCTCGCCCTCGTTGTAGGATGATTTTCACAATCTCTTGATTCCTAGGAGACCTCTCTTATTCAATGCCATCATTGATAGGAACATCAAAATAGTTATATACGGTACCCTCATCCTAAATATCAGAAGCTTCACCATCATCAACAATATAGTCCCCAAGAGTAACTCCACTAATTTGATAGAAATTATGTCTTGACATATTGTTAAGGCGCGATGAACTTCTTCCTTAGTAGGCACAATAATAGAATCAAGTATGTCATAGAAATTATCCATCAAAAAAGAATCTTGTATTTAGCTCAAGCTCTTCTTGCCAGTCTTCATCATAATGATCATAGTATCCCATTATACCTTGCTTCTAACATCATAAAAACACCCAAGAAAGAAGATAAAGAAGAACTTACACCCTTGTTATCCCTCTCAGCTATTCTATTCACTCCCCAAAATCTCTCAAGAAGGTTTAGAATTTAGTAAGGGATAGATTCACTCTGTTTTTACCACTGTCTTTGAGATTTATTTTTGGTGCAATAAGAATAACAAGCAATAAAAGTCAAGATCTTAAGGAAAGATAAGCCCTAAATATTTGCAACTGGATCTATGGAGAACATGAATTTATATCAAGATAGTTACAAATAACATTTAGCAATCTCGCATAAAGAACCTAGAGACACAAGATTTTTGATATAGGAATCTCGCATAAAGAACCTAGAGACACAAGTTTTTTGAATATTATGGTATACCTTTCAAAACCCTAGTTCTCGGTCAAAGCAAGCAAGGGAAATATCAAAACCCTAGCATCAAAAACAAGTTTATGGCAAATTTGCGAACCTTAGATCACAAGCAACAAAACAAATTTTTTGTGTTTTTTTTCGTGCCTTTTTCGTTCTTTTTTTTCTTTTGCACATTTTTTTTCTTCTTTAACTAGAAAATCAAAACAAAATCAACCAATCTTGAATCAAATGCATTAAATTCAAAAACTAAAATAGACCGAAAAAGTTTGAGAATTAAAGAATATGCAAGATTCGAGAAAAACCAAAGTTTTGACACAAGAAGTTAACCAAGGATAAGCCAAAGATTAACTAAAATATAAATAAATAAACAAAACTTCTTTGAGACCAAATTGATATAAATCTTTATCAGAGGCGCGGTTATTGTGGAAGCTTGACTTGAAAAGCTGCCTGAATGTTTTGGTCTTTGTATAACCACAAAGTAAAACCTATGCAAGCACACAAACCACGAAAAGAAACAGTTGTACCAACAAAATTTTAGGCTAAAAAAACCTGATAGAAAGGAAGAAGAGATGGAGAAGATGTTTAAGATTTGAAACCCCAGTCAAAACGACCCGAAACTCCCCACACGTTATAGATCAACGTTGAAAAGCTTTGTTTGCTCAACTAAAATGCAAATAAAGCATCCACAGACCAAGAAAACGTGAAAACTTTGCCAAGGTTAGCTACGCTTTAAGAACAAACCCTAGTTAGTTGAAAAAAACAAGTTATTCTCGCAAGAATAAGAAAAACAATGAGAGATATCACAAGTTTATGAATAAAATTCTTTATAATTGAAGTCACCATGAAAAACAATGCCTAGGACCTCTATTTATAGGCCAAGGGATGGCCAGGTCGACTAGGAGGAAGAGAAATCCAATTACAACTCTTATTCGGATTTCGTGGACTAGAAGTTTCTTAAAATTTCCTAAAACTTAAAAATTACAAAATAATTAAATAATTACACATGTCACAATAATTTAAAACCAAATATAATATTCTTCTAGAAGACTTGAATAGTCATCCAATATATGAAAATTATGGAAAAATCCTTTTACTATTCGAACTAGAAAAAACCGGCAAAGTTTGTCCTAGTTCTGAATAGTTTTGTAGACCAACAGGATGCTCGACAGGCATCTGTCGACTTTGTTGTTGACTTCTTCATCTCGATCAGAAACTTGATGTCATTTTGTCAACTTCATTGTCTACTTGAATTTGGCTCGACACAAACCGTTCTTTGGCTTCAATCTTCCATCATCCTTGATGAGAACCTCAATATGATGCCATTCACTCCCTATGTGATCACAATCAAAATAATGATCATCATGGTTAGGTATGATACATAATGGCCCAATCATGATCACATCACTAGAGTTGATTTCAATGTCCCTGAAGCAGATGTGTCGTTCCCGGATAATGAGGTAGTAAATCATACATTTGATGTTATTGATCCTATAGTTATAACTTTAAATCATGCAAGTTGGGTTTATGTTAATTTAGAAAATGAGTATGATGTTGACAATTCAGGAGATAATGGAAATGATATGGATGATGTGGTTCAAGAAATGATGAAGACAATGACATGTTTAGTGATAGGGATATTCATCCTCTAGGGGTTTTATTTATTGATGTATTGAATTATTTTGTTGAAAATGTTGAGAATCATTTCCAATTATTTTTTTGGTAACGCCGAGAACCCCACAGAGATGGGTAAACCCACGCCCACTACAATAGCCTGCTAACCACAGTGGGAGGTAAACCACCCTAAGCAAGCCTGGGGTGACAGTATCGAGTGCAAAATCGGGAGTTTATTAGTTGATTTTCCATAACAAGCCTTCTAGAGGTGCCCATTGGCGAGGTTAGAGCCACCCCTCACTCTTGTTGGAGTGGAGGTTTGAATTCATGACCTCCTCTTAATAATGGTGATTTTACCACTGAACCAACATCTCATTCGCAATATTTTCAAATTTTATTTAGCCTCATAATGAGTTTTTTTTTGTTATATTAGTTGATCTTGTGTTGGTTCTACTGATTCTACCGTTAAAGTTTGGTGAAAACTCCATGCTTGTTTTCCTCAACTGGTGAGAGGTCCTCTGTCATTTTGTTTTTACAATGTCCTATGTATTTAAATTGATTAATTAAACAATGAACTAATTAACTGAACATGGATTGTTGTAGATATGGTGAGAGGTTGAGGGAGAGATGGCACTCCAACAAGTCCAAACACAAATGTTGAGTCTGCAGCAAAAGGAAATACCTGCAGTTGCTCTCAATCCTATCCACGTCCAAGAACCATAAAATCTTTTACTCCAATTAAGGGTGTAAAAACTAGAGGAACTTCAAATCTAAACCCTGCAGCTACAAATCAAAGTTCTCCCCATTCTGATTATGCCGCATATATGAATCAGAACCGGGTTCACAAAACAAGAAAGTCAGCATGTCACTCAAGGAGAAATCAGCCCACTGATCGGATTCCGAATGATGATTCTAGTGCAAAGTAGGTTGAGAAACATGCAACAAAAAGCTGGTTGAGAAACTTGCAGTAGAAAGCAGGTTCAGGACCATGTTCCGTTAACAAGGATAAGATCATGTCGGTTAAAAGTTAATGAGGCCACAACAATTCAGAATGAACACCCTACAACCAATTCAAGTCAGAATCAGGTTTCAAGAAGTCAGAGTACAGAGAATTAGGCCAATTCACGTCTGATCAGGATCGATTCAACAAACATTTCAAATAGAGCTACTTCAAATCAGGATGAAAAAAAAAAGAATTGAAAATAAATGAATCAAACAAGTAAACAATTAAACGATCAAAAGAATACAAATTTGTAATGAAATTGAGAACTATTAAAAATGACTACGGGAAAATTGAGAACCCATACATTAACAAAATAATTGAAGAAAGAAGCTTAGTGATTCACTACGAAAAAATAGTAATCCCACTACTACACTTTGAACTTTTTTTTTTAAAACAAATCCAAAAATTAGGTAAAGAAACGTTTAAATTCAGAATGTAACACATCTAAAATGAATGGAGGGGCTAAACAACTAAATAGGGTAAATTGACCATGCAAATTTTATTATTTAGAAGAAAAAAAATCAAGAATCAACTACAAATGACAAAAGAGAGGTTAAATAGTGAGACAAAAACTGAAGTAAGAAAATCAAATGGAGAAAAAAATTGAATAATATTTTTAAGGAAAAAAAAACCTTACCATCAATTTTTTAAGTTGCACAAATCGCAAAGCTGGTAGAGTGAAGACAAAGTGAATGATTAAATGGAGAATGTAAAGAAACTAAAATCAAGAAATAAACAAATAAAATAAGTACGTGATAATAAGTTGAAAAGATAACTTTATAAGCAAATTAAGAATGACAATAATAACTTAAGACTGATTAAATGAAGAAAAGAAAGGTGAACAATATCATTAAGGAAAACATAATTATCCCACTACAAAGTAGTTGTGGTATATTATTACAAATGACTTGAAAGATATTAAATTTAAATTAGATTAAAAAAAAATAAGTTTTAATGATATTATTTTTGAGGTAAAAAAATGATTTTACCATAGAATCAACAAAAAAATTATACTACCGTAGACTGAAATTAAAAATAAGTTTAATGATTTTTTTAAAAACAAATTGCAAGACATATAACTATTCAATTTAAATTTGAATGTTTTTTTCTTTTCGGTTTTTAAACATTTCACATGATGTTGAACAAAACATTGCCATATTCATATCTCATATGTTTTTTTTTAATTTTATTTTCATCATGAATGAATTCATTATATATTTTTAATTAACATTTTTTTCTTTTAAAATTCATAAAATAATAAACAGTTTCAATTTCTCTATATTGTAATTTCTATTTATGTATCTTTGCCCCTCCAACGGACGGGTTTAACACCTAATACATATAAAATCAGCTCATTCTATTGTCAGAAAGAGAAATTTTAACTATGCATTGTGCTCTAATTTTTTAAAAAAAATTTAAAAAAAGTTATTAAAAATTCACAGGTACAATTACGAAAAAAAATCCAATAAAAAATTATTCTTATATTTAAATTTAGTCACTCTAATGCAAATATATCTCAATTAAAATATTATAACTTCATGGTCAAAATTACGAGAAAAAAAAAACCAAGACATTGTTTTAACATTTAATTTCATTAAAAAAAATATTGAAATCTTACTAGTAAAATTACGAGAAAAATTCAAGTGAAATATTCTTTTATATTCAAACTCAAGAAAATTCAAATTATCATTATATTAAAACCACTTAATTTTCACACCCATTTTTTATTGTTGTCTTATTCTTCATGTCACTTTTTTTTTAAATTCTATTTCATAATTAACCATTAATCAAGTACATGGTATTTTTTCACAACTAATGATCGTTTTAATAATACATTTTAACATATTATTCCCTATAACGCACAGAGGAAAACCTAATAAATACTATCTAAATAACATTTTAACTCATCTTTTAAAACATCTCTTAAGCATTATTTTTACACAATTTTTATCTACCACTACCGAACCACCTCCACTACTTCCTGGCTGCCACCCACCACCGCCGGCCGTCGCTTTCCAGCCAATTTTGAGCGAAGTGAAAAGAATGTCATTTATGTTGTCACTGAAACATCCTTTGACTTTTGAGAATAAAAAAAAATTAATTCATCTTTTAAACACAAATCTCAATACAAAATGAATAATTATTCATACAACTTTTTAATTTACATTTCAAAATTTTAACTTAAACATTAATTTTACACAATTTTCATCCACCACCAGCGGACGACCTCAACCACTATTGAAGCCGGGGGTGATTAGTGGCAGGTCAACAGCAGTGAAAGAGATCTGATGATGAAGATAAATAATATTATATTATTTAAAATATCATTCAAAAAAAATTTTAAATTTTTATTCAAATCAAAATCTCCTCCTAAATCCAAATAAAAAAACGAAATAAAATGTTGTCCAAATATTATCGGTAAAAGAAAATCAAATTTTTACTCAAATCCCTCGTAAAGGTTAAAACAGGAATTTAGCTCATCCTTTCAGTCCAGGGTGCAAACTGCAAAAAGAGTTCTTCTATCCTCTCCTGTCTAAAACAAAATATACGGATAAAAAAGATGAATCAAACTCTTAAGACCAAAAGTCAAAATTGGCTAGTAAGAGAGAGACAAAGTAGACGACGTCATTCCATTTTCCCAATATTTTCACCACCTCTTTACATTTAGTTTGATTCTTTTTATTTATAATTCGATTTCATTTTCTAATCTGGGTTTCCAACTCTTTTTCGGTGGGAGAAAGCAGAAAAGTTTCAATTTTCTGTCACTGATAATTCGATTTTAACTGGGAAGAACGAAGAAGAAGAAGAAGAAGAAGAAGCAGCAGCAGCAGCAGCAGAAACCAGCAACAGCGGGGGGGACAAACTTCTTCTTTTGGGACTTGAATTCGATTGCCCGGATGCGGTTTTGTCATTGGGGATTGGCGTTTTTAATTGAGTAGGCAAGAGTAAAGGAGAGGGGAGGAAAAGATGCTGATTTTTTGATACTGGGCTGCTCTTACTAGTTTTAACTGTAAGTATTTCAGTTCTTTGCTTAAATCCCTCTTGTTGTTCTATTGAATTGTGGTTGTTTATGGGGTCAATTTGATTCTGATGAAAAGAAAATTGGGGAAGATGGTGGATTTTCATGTTCTTTTCCCAGTTTTTGTGGTAGCGGTGGAATTTATCTTGATTTGTTTGTTTGTGGTGGCGGTGGAGTTTATCTTCCTATTAAGTTTCAATCATCTAAAATGGAGAATCTTGTAGAGTAATTGTAATTTATTGGTAGTACTGAGCATTTTTTCCCCAAGTTATGGAGAATGCATAGGTCAGAGTTGATCATCAATGTTTTGTATTTATGCAAATTGTGTTTAATTGCTTTCGAGATGGATTGCTCTTCTGATAGAAGTGGTGGTTTCTAGGTAGGCAGAATGCTGTGTGTATTTCATTTCGTTTCTTCCAAACTGGCTCGCAAGTTGTTTTGTGGTTTTAAGCTCAGTTATTAGCAATTCCTCTTTTATCTTAATGACTCATTAGTTAGTACAAATTACTTTGCCTTTGATGTGGTTACTACGATTTGCTGATTGATGATCTGTTACAGTGATTACAAGTGTTCCACTCTTTCATCTTTGCTGCATTTCTTTCACAATTGCTTACTTTAGATTGCTTTGGTACGTTCACAATATTTCTTTTTCCTTTATGGTTAAAAGGTAGGTATTGGGTGGGGATTAAATAAACAACTGGGTTCCTTAATCTAGTTTTTAATTATTTCAAATGAATCTTTTACTCAATTTTAACCCCCCCAGGAAAGAAAGAAAACAAATGTTGTACTCCCAAGTAATGTTCCAAAAACTCTATTGGCTGCTAGGAAAAGGAAAAGGAAAAGAGAGAGAAGTTTGTGATTTTGAGCTCTGTGCTATTTTCTGGTGCTCAAATTTTGCAAGAGTTAAAAGAAAAAGAAAATACTTGCTACATGAAACTTATAAGAAGAGATGACGATTAGATATAGAAAGAAAGTCATTAACCTTCTTCTGTAACCATGACTGTGGTCGAAAAGACCCTCATTATTTTTTGTGGACATTGCTGTTTGATTTCTTCCGAGGAAGCATATACAGTTACCATTAGAAAAAATGAGGGGCTTGGTTCATTTTCTTACTTACCATGTAACAGAGTTTCCTGCTAAAAGTCAATTAGCATATTTTAATTATAAATCATAAATGCCTCCGTTTCGCCCAATATGCTTTATGCTTGCTTTGCAGAGTCACTAACTCAATGTCACTGGATTCTGTTTCTTGCTGTAACAGGGAGGCAAAAGCTTTGCGATCTTGTTTTGTTGGAATTGTCTGTCTGCAAATATAAGGAGTACTCATGATGGCAGATGTCAGTCCCAGGACTGATACTTCTACTGACGCAAGTACAGAGGATAAGAATTCCAGGGTGATGACTCAATCAATATGTTTATACTAGTGCTATTTCATTATCTTCGGTGCACAGATTAAAATCATGTTCCTTTCAATTAGATTCAATGCCCAATCCTCTGTCTAGTACTTTTTAGCTTAGTATTCTTGCTGTTTATTATCATGGAAATGTCATGTTGATATTTTATAAATTACCTCTACAGTTTCAAAATAATCAAGCGATGGCAGCTTTGGGGTCTGATGGGAGTGACAAATCCAGAGATCAGAAGGTTGTAGGAGTTCAATTTAATTTGACATGCTATATTGTAAGATAGATGACGTAACACTAAATCGTCTCTTTACAGACTCTTCGCAGGCTTGCTCAAAATCGTGAAGCTGCAAGGAAGAGTCGCTTAAGGAAAAAAGTATGTTTGGTTTTCCATTTACTCTATTTCGTGTGTGCTTTCAATTTTTTATGTTGAGGAGATTCTTGGAGCAGTGGTAAGAGCTGTTTTTATGTTTTCTGTATTCACAGCTTCAAGTCGTGGCCTCTCCTCTTGGAGAAATATAAAGTAAGGCTGCCCATATTAGGTCTTGATGACCTGGTCCTTATATGGTCCGGCACATATAGTGCTACTTGTATGTATTTGCATTTTACGAATGTTTGTTCATTATGAACACAAAGTTGGACTGGTTTATGAGCATGGAACTTATAATTGTGTGGTGGTCACAAATCTCTGGTCAAAGAATAATATATGAAACAAATGTTCTTTGTAATAAGGATCTCATGCACAAGAAACTGCATTCAGCTTCATTTTTTTCGGTACCGTTTTATGTCACACGATGCAGCCAGTAGACTTTTTTTTTTTTTTATTTTCCTTTATGTATTTATTTATTTATTTATTTATTTTTTTTTTTTTGGGGGGTCCTATATTCTGAATCTTCTGTTTCCAGGAGAGAGTTATGACCATCCACTGGTTTAACCAAATATCTTTTAAGAACTCAAAATTCAGTGCCGATAAAAATGTCTTGAGGTTCCATGCTTTAAAGGATGTGGTGAAATGGAATGTTGTTTTAAGAGGGGAGCTGAAGACTGTTGTTACATGTAAAGTAACTGCGTGCATATGCTCTTTTGAACAACTTGGTGAGATGAAAGATTGGGAGGCTTCAATACTGCCAGTCGCAGTACTACCATTAATTATTGCTGTATCTTTGCAATGCTTAGTTATAGGCAAATGTTCTTTACGATCTTGTTTTGGTGGAATTGTCTGTCTGCAAATATAGAGTTAAGTGTTGTTGTGAATTTATATTGGTAGCATTGGGGATATTGTGTTGCTTGTTTGTAGAACTTATTGGGTTCTCATTTGACATCAGTTATTCTAGTTGTGTTGGGCTTTGATATGCATCTTCTTCTTTTTTTTTTTTTTTTTGTCTCAGCCATATTGTCCTTTATTGTTTTCTAAACACCAAAAGTAACGGCTAATAATTAGTATTTTTTATTTTTTTATTTTGTAGAAATTATGTTCTACGAAATTTGAGGTAGTGCTTCATGGTTTTCTTAGCACATTCTAGCTTACGGATGAGTTTTCACCTAGGAATATGAGTTAGCTTAAGGAGTCAACATGATTAGTCGTGATGATTTGTTTTCTTTCCTAATGGATATAGGTGGTCTTTTAATTCTAGGTCCATGTTCTGAAGCTGAAAAATTGAGTGGTTATTTACTTATCTTTGGAATGTCAATTTCTTGTATGTTCTGAAAGTTGTACTGTTTTGATGAAGTTCTTTTCTATTGCAAACTGTTTAATGTTATGTGGTGAAGTAAGCTTTAGCTAGGTTTATCATTCCTCTATCAAATATGATGCTGCACAAGGACATAATTTTCATTTGTTGAATGAATCGTGAGGTGTCAAAACCTCACCATTGTTTATGGGCTCATTGAGTGAATCACTTTGTTTAGTTTCTGGGATTAACTAGGTTGCAGTTTTGGACATATTTGAACATGTTAAAAGTTAATATCAAGTTAAAATTTAAATATACAGCAACAATCATTAAAATCATTATTTCTCCCACGTGGCAGAATTTCACTCAACATTTTGTTTTTTTTGGTAACGCCGGGAACCCCACCAGTGATGGGTAAACCCAACATATGTTAACTTTAATTTCGAGTTCTTTGTTTGTAAACTATTACTTATCTACTTCTTCAGTTCCTTTGCTTTTTGTGAACCTCTTTGGTTTATGTTATCCAGGCATATGTGCAACAGCTAGAAAGCAGTAGGATGAAGTTGACACAACTCGAGCAGGAGCTACAGAGAGCTCGACAACAGGTGCGACCTGAATATCACTTATTTTTGAAAATTTGTTTGTTGTCACATGCACTTGTGCTGTCTTTCTGTAAGTTTAACAGTAAAACTCTTTTTTTTTTTTGAAGGGCATATTTATTTCCAGTTCTGGTGATCAATCTCAATCTATGAGTGGGAATGGTATGATTATATTTAAACTGCCGAAACTTTTTTCCCCATTGTTGATATGTGTTTGAATGAATTTTGACTTTTATCTTTGATTTCTATCCCGTTGTTAGATCTTATGGATTTGGTACATAGCAAGCAAATCTGATTTAAATTGCTTTGGAAATCTGATATTGACTTTTACCATAGATTTTATTGATATCCATCACCATTTGATGTTTCCTGATCTTCTTTATCCTTAGTTGGTCACGGAATTGCCAAATCTAAGGCTGCACTACTTGTTTTCAATTCAGTGTTTGACTAGTTTAATTGTTGCTTGATGGAAAAATCACGAAAGAAGTGACCTGGCTCTTTGGTTAGATCTTATGATAACTTTTCAAATCTTTATGTCAAAGACATGGTTTCTTTAAAATTAAGCTGGAGTTTAGACCAGTGAAGTCGGGGCGTCTTGGTACCCGAGCGTCATTGAAATGTCGATTCAGAAAATAGTGCTTTATATGAAAGCCAGATTTTCAGTTCGATTCCCTAGCTCCTCCTTCTTATGATGTATATTCTAGTCACTCAAGGTTCCTTTTACACTTGGTCTTATTGAAATCAGATTTTGTTCTGAAGTAACTTCACGACCTTATTAATGTTGACCGGCGATGTGATCTGGATGGAGTATAGCGTTTTTGTTCTGTAATGAGTAACAGTTTTATCTTTCTTGAAGAAGATAGTATAAATATTTGACTTGCGAATCTGATGATGCATAAGAATTAGCGGAATTTTTTCTGTAAGAAAAAGTTATTACCAGGGAGCTAATTGACAATATGGAGAGTGATAGATGAATTAGTTATTTGAAGAGCATTTGATAAGAATATCAACTTTGCTTCCCCTGCGGTGATGTGGCCTTTTGTTAGCATGAGATGCCTGAGGCAAAAGCTTTAAGGAGTAATAAGTCTTTCTGGTCTAAAAGAAGGTGTTTGTGATGATATTCTTCTGTTGGATAGATTCAGGACTCGCTAATACGGTTTAAGAGTATGGTGGAGTTTCTTTTTTTTTGTTTGTTTCTCGTTTCTTCTCCCTGTTTGGATGTCTCCGTTATTTTTAGTTGTTTGTCTCTCTTTTGTGTGTGTGTGTGTGTGTGTGTGTGTGTGTGTGTGTGTGTGTGAGATTCAGGGGAATCAAGTCTTTTTCAGGGTAAATAAACAAATGAAATCTTTTCTATATTTTTAATATTTTGTGTAGTCTTAGATATCTGGATACGCTTCTTTTTATATCAGTCTAAGACTTCATTTATAAGGAGTCTCTTTCTTCTACTTTTCCCTTGCTATCTGTTTAATACTCCTAAGGTTTCAGGATCCTCCAGCCTTCCCCAGTAGTCTAATAGGCAAATATTGCCTCCTCAAACAAGATCCTCTCTTGATCATGGATGTTCCCTTCCTTGTCAATTGTGAAGGTGTCAAGTTTCATCTCCTTCCAGCTTGATACCCTCTTGCTAATCTTTTTCTTTGAACAACAAAACTGGTCTTCTGGTATTTTTTATTCTGTTTTTCTCGATACATCGTTTGAGGAGGCAGTTTTATCTGGTCAATTGGGCAACAAGTTACCTGGATCAACTCTAAGAGGCCCCTCTAGTTATAGAGAAGGATTTATGCCTTCCATAGTACTTGAATCACAGTCCTTCCATGATGACAATTTCCAACTCTATCAAGATATGTGCTTAATTTGGATTTTGTGGTATTGTAATCTAATGTAAGATATCCAGCATTCATTGAAGGCTGGATATTAGCGCCTCTGTTGCTTGGAGCCCTATCTGGAAGACATTGCCGTGTGTTGTTGGATAAAGGAGAAAGTTGCAATTTTGAGTTTTGGAAAAGGTGCTGTACATATTGGATATGTCACACTAAAGTGAATCAAGCATCATCAGATAATTGTGTGCTGGGTTTTTAGCAGTGACCAAGTGACATACTTAATATTATTATTAATTGGTATTATTATTTTAAAAGGAAATCTCCTGCGAGCATGCATGGTTTCTTGATAACTTTTGTTCGAGTAAAAAATCTAGTCATGCCTATTCAAAATTATTTTTGCTCTAAAGGAGTGAGAAACACTAGATTAAGGATAGTGGTTCCTTGTAGTTTTGCGTTAGGATGAGAGGAAGTTGAAGAGCAGATCAGAAAGAAATATATGAGTGCAGTAGTATTTCTTATGTCGCATTTTCACCCCCTCTTGATTTGTTCTTCCTGTTGAGCAAGGGCAGTAAGGATTATGCTACCTTCTTTATGTATACTGTTCCCATTGCTACTAATTGATATTCATTTGTAAGGCGTATTTATATTTTCCCAATTATCTTTGGCTGATAAGCCCTGAAAAATGTTCTCTGGTGGGTGAAATTTCCATGTACTTCTTGTTGACGTTTATTAGCATTATTTCTTGACTACCGGCAGGTGAACTGGATTGACTTAAAAATAACTTCTCACCAATTCTTTTCTTTAGGAGCCTTAGCATTTAATGTAGAATATGCTCGATGGTTGGAAGAGCACAACCGGAGAATTGATGAGCTGAGAGGAGCTGTGAATTCGCATGCTGGTGATGCTGAACTCCGCATCATTGTGGATGGCATCTTGGCGCATTATGATGAGATCTTCAGGATTAAAGGGGATGCTGCAAAGGCTGATGTCTTTCATATATTGTCTGGCATGTGGAAAACACCTGCTGAAAGATGCTTCCTCTGGCTTGGTGGATTTCGTTCATCTGAGCTTCTTAAGGTATGGTTGCGTAATATGATTCTATAATTCAGGGTTGGGGACGGAGATCTCGTGGGTATGCTTAGTTTTTCCACACACACTCCTCATACTGGCACACTTCAGACCATCGTGTAGAATGCAAAAAGGATAGCAGGCTCTGGGTTTTGAATATCATTTAGATTTTTCAGTCTTTTCTCGCAAGATGCATCACAATTTTCGCTTTTCTTAGTTCCATGTTAAGTAATGCTATAAAAATTGCTTTAGCTTCTGAGGAACGTTGGAATTGAGAGAACTTGTAAATCTGGAATTATCTTAGCAATTCGTCATTGATTACTGCAAAAGTGGAAATTGTTTAGCTGATTATTGTTGAAGGAGAGGAGCCGTGCACTCTTTGTGATGAGATAAAACAGATGTGAATTAGTTTTTTTTTTTCGGTATTATTTAATCATCCCCCGCCCCTTCTCTTGAGAAGATATAAAAACTGTAGCCTGAAATCTGGGAATAAAATCTTGCTTTGTTATGCATATACATGTAATATTTCATGGGTTTTGGTTGGCACTACTATTTTATTCATTAATTTATGCGTATCTTCATTCGTTTGACTGCACATTATTTGTGTGTTCAGTATCTTTATAGTTGTATAGTAATAAATAAGTGGGGTGCTAGAAACATAGATGACTTGTATTGTAGATACTTGGGCCTACCTACTTTTTGATTTTGGAGTTGGATGCCCAAATTACGTAACAAATTAATGTGGTCTGCACACTGAATGATCTCAGCAATTTCTTTTGTCGTTCATTTGTGAAATCAATTCATAACACGGGATACAAGACCTTGATTGAATTGGAAAGGAATGATTGGTAAGATTAGGATAACGTAATTGCCGGTAACCAAAAATGCAAATGATTTGAAGAAGAGATTTTCAAATGGAGTTCATAATCTTGCAGTATGTGGGTTTCAATTAAGTTTCATATGGATCTGTCAGGTGAAGATTATCAGATGGAAGTTAGTTGTCTAAATTTTATTTTAGTTAACTAAGAGAGGCTTTTGTCTGCAAATCTTATAAAAGGTGATGGGGTGCTTCCACAGCACATCTTGATTGTTGTCTATGTTTCTTCTATTTTTTGGGTTTTTATGTTGCTCTCTCTGAATCTGATTGGATCACTTTGTTTTTGTGCAATAGTTTGTGGAAGTGTGCACCCTCATAATTTGCATGGGTATACATTGTAGTATATGATTTTTTGTGTTTTATAATTTTATGTGTACCAATTATGAAAGCACAATTGATGCAGACAGTGGAACTGTAAGCTCTTTTAATATCTCTGATGATTCTAAATTGTATCTTTGAGTCTCTTTGAAACTGAGTTGTAAGCAACTGTTATGATATTTCTCCTGTTATAAGTGATCCAGGTGGTCTTGTATTGATAGATATGGAGCATATACATTTACATCCGCTATTTCCAACAATCACATCGTCTTAATGTATGAGATGCAAATGTGTAATATTGGATTTTGACTTTCTTGCAGCTGCTTATAACTCAATTGGAGCCTCTAACGGAGCAACAGGTGTTGGCTATCAATAACTTGCAACAGTCATCCCAGCAGGCAGAGGATGCTCTCTCTCAAGGAATGGAGGCCCTACAACAATCATTGGCTGAGACTCTTGCTGGTTCTCTTGCGCCTTCTGGCTCATCGGGCAATGTAGCTAATTATATGGGTCAAATGGCAATGGCGATGGGTAAACTGGGGACTCTTGAGGGTTTTATTCGTCAGGTGAGTCCTTGTATATGTAAAATATACTGCATAAAGTTCAGGTTCGTGTTAATTTATTCTCGTTGTCCAAGGTCTTGAGGCATCATATCATGATTTGACTCTCATGTTCACTTGTTCCAAGTTTGAATGTCTGTTCTGTTCGTATTTTTGCAATCATACGTGCAACATGCCTTTACCTCCTGGAGCTTCTAGTAAATCGTTAATATGCCCAATGTAAAGATGTTCCATTTGGTGATTTTTCAAACAGAAAAATGGGATTCCTCATTACATAAACATAGTTGAAGACAATGGAAGAGGCAAAGTTATTACATATTTTAGGTCAATGGGAATGAAGCCATAGCCGATTTGTACCAATGTGGCAATGTGTATAAACTGAAATTCCAAATATTATCATAAGATCTTAGCTTTGGTGGAAGCAATAGAACAATGAAAAGTGGTAGCATAATTTTTGTAACTGTGGCAAGGGAATGTCTTGGAAAAGTATAACATTACATAGATATTTAAAGTTTGCCTGTCATACCTTATATGGGTATGCTTACTTCATTGATTACATGGTGGTATGAAAGTGTCATTAGTTGTGTTTGTATGTTTTCTGTGACTGGCTTATCTTGTCTTTCTCGTTCACTTCTTTGTAAATTTTGGTCATACGGTCTTCGTATTTTGATGGATCCTTGTGTATAATACTAAAACTATGCTTTAATAGTTAGCAGAATGTGATATTTCGCATGTTTAATTTTGAGTGAGCAACTTAAACGAAGTTTTAACATATTTTAGAAATTTCTTTTAGTTTGCTTTCATAAAAAGGCGTTAGTTTTACCCCAGTGGTTTCGCAACTATTTTTCCATTGAGCATTTAGTCACCTATTTCTAAGGCGAAGTAAGAGAATTACTACTTAAAGCGGTAAGCAAGTTAAAACCAGGTTTATTTGGAATCCAGTCATGCAATGTAGGTTATTTTGTATATAATGCTGCAGTGACTAATTAGGTTTCAATTATTGAGTTTTCTTCCTTCAGGGGCCTTAATCTCAACGTTTAATTTCATGACCAACTATTCTATCTCTCATATGAAGTTGCAATTGCATTTTTGCCCAGTTCAAGTTTCCGTTGCCTCAGTTCTTTGACCAAAATTCTGTTCCCCCTAGATTGTCTGAAATTTAATTTGATTTACTTGCATTTTATTAACCAAAAAAAATAAATAAATAACTTGCATTTTCAGGCTGACAATTTGCGCCAACAGACGTTGCAGCAAATGCATCGCATACTGACAACTCGCCAATCAGCCCGTGCGGTTCTTGCAATTAGTGATTATTTCTCTCGGCTTCGAGCACTCAGTTCTCTCTGGCTCGCTCGGCCCAGGGAGTAAACTTTCACTCTCGTACAATTTGGAAGAAGGCATCTACCTGGTGATTCATGTATATCAGAATTCTAGCTTTTACTTAAAGTGGATTTACTTTCTTTGCATTTCCCTAATTCTGGAGCAGGGGATAGCTGTTTGTTTCTACCAAGTTAAGTCACATAGCGTGTTCTTGATGGCTGGTTGATTGGGTCTGCAAGCTTGCAAGAGTGAGGTTGTAAAATCTTTTGTATTTCTGATTGAGTTAACATAGTCACAAAGTGTAGTCTGTAGCATAATCTGTAATGTTGTAATCTAGTTTAGTTGAATCGACTTATTGACCTGTAATTGCAGTCGGGTATATCTTTAGATTGCTCAACTTTTACAATTGATTGAGTATTGCCTTAAATATTGACCGAGGTTATTTGTCTCGTCATGTGATGCTCTGGATATTGATCTTGTTTTCGGGGTGGCAGCCCGAGACTAGATTCGTTCTAACCCAGTGGGCAAATCGTTGGGATAATGCAAGTCATATGCTACATACAAACTTTGGCTCTTATGAAAATGATTTGTCTAGAAGATTGACTATGGTGCTTTGCTCACCTATTGTCTGGATTTTTAGAAATCGAAAAACATTAGTGTCGGCCGTTGCACTCACAATTACCTAGCAGTTACCGAAGTGACCAAAAGTTTAGACATAAAATAGGTTTTGATTGGAAAAAAAAAAAAAAGAGAGCGTGGGAGGACGTTGCAGATGTCAGCGCCGAGGCCAGAAGACCACATATCATAAACGCAGAGAAACCCGGGCAACCACTCCCCAATGTGCTAATCGCCAGTGCATCCAGGGCCCGGTGCCCAGCTCAGCTGGAGTCCTTGTCTGATATGAAACGTGTTAATTTGGTTCAATTCATAAAGATATTCTTTTTAGGTCAGGGGCTACTGTCAGACCGGGGGTTACGCACAATTGGCAATGACATGACCGAAAAAGAGTAAGAGAGACAAAATTACGTGCTGGATAGCAAAACATATATGTTTCGAGTATAGAGCCGACAAAGGGTGCACACGGGGACTCCCCGGATCACTATGGTTGACTCTCGTCTCTGTGAGACCAACTGGATTGCTTGGGAGTAAATTTTAGAAGATATTAATGGTTCATTCTATTAATTGGTTCGTCAGTTCGATATTATGCTCTCGCGATGCTGGTTGTTTCATGATTTCATCTGCTTATAGATTAATCTTCTGCTCCGATAATTTGTGAATTCTGTGTTCTCCTAAAAGGGCTGCTTTTGTATCGGTTCACGAATTTAACTTGCGTTCCAAGAGTGATAGAATATTGTGGAGGTGATGGAATATACAGAGGTGATTTTATGAATAAATTTGCATGGTTTAAAACTCAATTCTGTCTACACGTAAACTATCAACTAAAATGAATAAAAGTCACGCACAACATATCTTGCATTCACATCATTGGAAAAAATGGTCAGAAAAAATTGTCTTAGTTATCTGTTTAATCTGAGTCTTATTTTTAGTATAAGTACATTTGAAAGGATAGTTTATCGAAATTACTAAAACCAAGGTTCTTAAATATTCCATCCGTTCTGAAATTATTGTCCAACTTAGATTTTAATTTTAACTAAAATGTATAAATAATTCTTTACATTTGGACTTACTTTAATTTACGTCTCTAACATTAATATTTTAAGATAATAGTCCCAAACATTATGTTTTGAAACTTTTTTAGTCCCATTTTACTATTTCGTCAACTTTTCTGTCTAACTCGATGTTGTACTAAAAGTGACAGCCTAAATATTAGAGATTTTATTTTCCCAAGTTTTCAAACTTTCAACATTCCTCCCTGTGGCGTGATCAATATGATCAATCTCTTTCAACTTTTTACTTAGTTTTTGTAATATCAAAAAATAAATAAATAAATAAATCAGTTTGCCTAAATGATTTGTCCATCTTGGTAACATCTAATCATATTTCTGTTATAAGCTGATGCACTCCCACTTCCCAAATTTTACAATAAAATGAGATTTTGTCGAGGTCAGTGACTGACATATTATTTCCAGCAAAATTTTTGTTTCTCACAATAAAACTCATCCATCTTGTATTTAATCGGGATAGTAGTTTTGAATATCGACATGTAGTATGTATATACGTATATAATTATATATAATTAATTTTTTGACGCAAACAAAGATTATATATTTAAGTTATTTTATTATTTTAGAGATATTTATTTTATATTATTATTTCATTAATTTTAGAATTTTCTGAAGATAATGTACTAAAAATTGATAGTTGATTTAGTGATAGTGACCGGCTGAATAAATATTTAAGAATATTTTTCGTTTGTTCATGGTAAATGTGGTAAGTTTTACATTTTAGTATTATAAGATTTGATTGGGATAAATAGAAGTAAATGGAGTAAAATTGAGAAAGTGATAAAGTTAAAATTGGGTTCAATTGAAAATAATTTTTAAAAAATCAGAGTAAAATTGATAAATTATAAACTTTTAGGAAAACTTTGTAATTAAAAAATATTATATTTCAGCGGGATAGTGGATCTGGCCAATAGGACTAATTTTTTTAAAAAATAACTATCAGGACTATTTTTTTTGCGTAAAATATTAGGGATAAAAATTGAATTGAAAAAATACTTTAAAGATTAAAAAGATCGGACGCCTTTTTTTTTTTTTCTTTTTGGACAGAGGAGTATTATTTCCTAAATAATATTCGAATTTTTTCCTTAAATATATTTCCTTATATATACCTGGACAAAAATAAACCTTTCAAAAATTTTGTGAACAAACTTATATGTCCCGGATTTAGGAAATCCGAATGGGGGTGAAACTCGGATTTCGGAAATCCGAACCTCAATAAACTCGGATTATAAAAATCCGACTTTGTGTTACGTAAATCCGATATTAAGTTAATGACAGAAATTAGTGTAATTAATCTAAATCCGTATTTATGAATAAAATATTAATTTTCGGATAAAAAAAAATATGTGTTGAAAAATTAAATTTTGGAAAACCCGGATCACGGTAATCCGAATATACATAGATTCGGATTACCGAAATCCGAATCTCCTCTGCTTTCTGAAAAATGCTAACTCTCAGTTGGCTACAGACTCGGATTTCCGAAATCGAAATCCTTTACAAAAAGTCTGAGTTCGGATTTCGCAAATCCGAGTCTTTGTCAGAACTGAAAAAAAAAAATTGGACTGGTTTTCACCAGTCCTAAACATGTTTACAGCACCAACAACAATGAACCATTGGAAAACAGAAATTTAATGGCAACAAAACAATAAACGGCATTCGATTAACAACAAAACAAATCAAGTTTCATACCAAAATCAATACAAAAACTACTTTAAATGTGCAAAATACATCAAATGTCTCATTTTTTTTCCTTTTCCTTTATTGTGCGCACCCGGAGTGTATTTGTTTGGGCACGGCCGGATCCTATCTCCCCTCTTAAGATACGTGAGTATTGAACTTTGTTGTGGTTGCGACTGTCCACCAAACTGAGTCTCGGGTCCACCAAGGTCAAACTGAGTCTCGGGTCCACCAACGTCTTCAAAATGAGTCTCGACCTGGATGCGCGAGCCTCGAGAAGAATGTGCTTGATCCTCATTTTGTTGACCCTCAGTTTGTTGTTGCGATGTCCGAGGGGGGATTGGGACCTTCCTCTTTCTTCCTCCTCCAATCTTATCTCTCGACCACAGTTTCGCTTTTTTACCCGGCGGAGGTTGTTAGGGCAAAGATGGATCTTCATCAACCAGGATTTGGGTATCCTCCACCTCCATCTCATCATTTGCGCCCAGGGTTAAAGCAGCATGTGTTTGATTGATGATATCGTCCAAATGCTTGTCGAGTTCTTTGTCTAGGAGATTCTCATCTTCTCGTTTTTCTCAAAACTTCTCGGTACTCACGCGAATGTTGTTCAATACTTCACCCTGAAAAGAAATTGGGACGTTAATTAAGAGAGTAAAATTCTAAAAAAATAAAAATGAAAAAAGATAAAATGAAAACATAAGAAATAATAAAAGAAATATAGAATGAACTCACATATAATTTCACTCGGCTCGAAGAAGTCTCATATCCTTGAGGTTCATAATTACCGGGATTGGATATCAGTTTGACAGTGTTTACCATGAACCATTCATAGTACCCCTCATATACAGAGCCAGGGTCTCCTTCCTCCAAATCTCGTAGCACGTACTCTTCTCTCCTATTCCAATGACGACGTACTGCGGAATAGTGGTCCACCCAATTGTTGCTAGGATATCCAGACATACTGTGGGCGTGATCGAGAAAGAATGCTGCGTTATCTTTAATCATAGGGCGCTTGGGAACATCCTGTATGTATCCAAATTGTCTCACAACTCTGCCCGTCTCATGGGGTTCCCTAATAGCCCAACAGAACATCCAACACCCGGTCGTCCAAATGGCTTGGCCTTGTGTACAGAAATCAGGGAGTCTATGAAGGACATGTGCATATGATTGCCACCGAAACTGCACGAACAGAATTTCATTAGATGGTATAACCGGAACGAAAAGAAATTCAAAGTTAATATAAATACCAAATTTTACATCTTCAACACGCAGGCTTGTTAATTGATCTCTAAAAGGTGGGGTGCTACTCCTTGGGGCGTCGCCGTAGGTGTACCTACATTCCCACCTTAATGAACAAAGGGGTACATTTGAATTAGTTAAAAAAATGAATAAGAAACAAATAGAAATAAACATTGAGTTATTTCGAACTGAAAATATATACCGCTGAGCTAATGGAACGGTCTCATCAATCAAATAATCTACTCCTTTTCTGTGTGGCGCGATTCTCTTGATCCGCTCATACGCCCATACCTAGTAAATTGCAATAATGATGTTAAAATTTCAAATCATAACGTCGAAAGCGGAAAATAATTAAAACACCAATTGAAAACTAATACGTACCTGTAGCAAATATAGGCAGCCAGTGGCGTCGTGCATGGTGTACTGTGATGCCTCGCACAGTCCAGAGTACAAACTAGCCAGCAGTGCCGATCCCCAATTGTATCGACTACACTGATCCAAATTCTCAACCTGGGCCAAGAACTGTAGATTGACAGTGTTTTGCGTCTTGTTAGGAAACAAGAAATTGCTAATAAAATGCAGTATAAGTGTCCGGGCCCTTTGCTCGAATCGATGGACGGTGGAATTCTCAGGGAGTGCGCAGCCCATCTCATCTTCGAAAATACCAACATTGACACATTGCCCATTTACTTGGGCTGGCCGGAATCCCAAATAAGCCTCGCATCGATCCCGCCATTCATCTGCAGTCCGGCTAACTGTCGTCCCGTACACCGAGTCACCATCCACCCGAATACCAAAGCGGACCTCGACATCCTGTAGTGTCACAGTCGCTTCTCCGAAGTTGAAATGGAAAATGTGGGTTTCTGGCCTCCACCATTCCACCAACGCGGTAATGAGACCGAGATCCACTCTTTTGTAGCCTACTTTCATGATCCCCTCAAAATCGGCTCTCTTTATGACTTCCTTAACCTCCGGTGCCATATTTTTGTATATTCCCCAAAAATCGCTGTCGTATCTACGGCCCTTGAGACAGAATGTTTTAATGTCCGGTATCTTGTTCTCATAGACAGCTTGGGACCTATGCTTTATTTGACGATAAAGCATTTTATCTTTTATCGGTCCCGAGTGAAGATGTTTAGGTTGATATTCATATTGCGAGCCCGATGCCGGCGTCGCCATTTCAATCCTACACAAGGTAACCATACGGCTTTCAATCCAAATATGCAAAATCATGATGCACTAACCAAATACCATATACATTCGGCTAAAAAATAAAACTACCAAATCGTAAACATTCGGCCAAATAAACAAAACAACCAAACCATATACATTCGGCCAAAAAATAAAACTACCAAACCATATACATTCGGTCAAATAAACAAAACAACCAAACCATAGACATTCGGCCAGAAAATAAAACTACCAAACCACATACATTCGGCCAAATAAACAAAACAATCAAACCATATACATTCGGCCAAAAAATAATACTAATACAACAACAATGCACAACAACAAATAATAATACTAATACACAATCCAAACACTATATCAACACCACTAACATTCACAATTCACACAACTATACAAATCCAACACAAACTCTATATCAACACAACTATACAACACAATTCACAAACCAACACAATTCACTAATCAATACAACACAATTTAAAATAAACTAAACCACAACAATACACATTAGGAAAAAAAAACACATTCGGATTTCACAAAGAAAAAATATTTGACAAAAAAAAATAAAAAGAGAAAAACTTACACCCAAAGGAGGGAGTCGCCAGTGGGAGATAGGGTCGCCGGTGGGAGAGATGGAACCAGAAGGAGAGAGGGTCGCCGGTGGGAGGAGCGAGTCGCCGGTGGTTTAAAGTTAGGGTTGTTTAATTGTTAGAATTGGGGGAAAAATGGGAGGGGGAAGAGTTGACCGGGAATATATAGTCCCGTCAAACTCGGATTTATGAATCCGAGTCTCCCTCTTTTTCCTCAAATTGCAACTCTCGGATGGATTTCACCGATTCAGATTTCAGAAATCCGAGTGCTTTGCAAATTCAAAAAAAAGTCTGAGCTCGGATTTCGAAAATCCGAGTCTCCCCTATTTCTCCTCAAATTGCAACTCTCGGATGGATTCACCGATTCAGATTTCAGAAATCCGAGTCCTTTTCAAATTCAAAAAAAAGTCTAAGCTCAGATTTCGAAAATCCGAGTCTCCCCTGTTTCTCCTCAAATTGCAACTCTCGAATGGGTTTTACCAATTCGGATTTTCGAAATCCGAGTCCTTTGCAAATTCAAAAAAAAGTCTGAGCTCGGATTTCGGAAATCCGAATCCTTTAGAAAATTTTAAAATGATGAGTATTTTGCACAATCCCAAAACCTATTATGAAAAACTAGTACATATTTCATCACACTTTACAATCCGAACAATTCAATGTTCAAATTACAATCCGAATTTATCCATGTTCACGTAAATTTATCAAACACTAAATGACTCTCAATTCTAGCTGTCATTCACAGGTCTTCTATCTACTCCTGGGTGTGAGAACGGACAAGAATTCGTGGAAGCTCTTCGAAATTTGAGGTTCAATCACCATAGACCGCTTCTATGGCTTTCCTCCTCCTGTGCCACGCCCTTTTGTATGGCACATCTACTTTCAATGAGGTCTTCACATCTTTCTGTGCCGAGGCTACCGTATAATCTACGTTGTCCTCAACCTTTCTCCTGATGAGTCTAGCAATCAAAGACGCGTCCACACACCGATTGTCATTATCATTCACGGGAGTGATGCAATTATGTGCATCATGCCATCTCACAATTTCATGAAGGCCATGAGCTTTCAAAGACACACGCATCTTCCACTCACATGGTGCTTCACCATCCTCACTTTCCACATTAAATGTTCTGCACCACCACAGTTCACGTCGTTGGACTACTCGCGGTGACCGTGTATTCCCTTTTATGATGGATGTTCCATAATTTCACAGTATGCTTTGCTTCTGATTGAGATTTAGAACCAACACCAATGTCCATTCCTTCGGGCGTCTCATCCCACATCTTAAGAGCAAACTCATCCTTGTCCACACATGAGGCATCCCATTTCTCTATCTTACTATATACATGGCGTCGGGGCAATGGATTACAATCCCTTTCCTCATTTTCCAACCTTTCATCATCACTTTCTTCAAAATCACTCTCTCCAGAGATATCACAGTCTTCTCCGCTTTCACTTGGAGCTATGTAGTCGGAATTCGACTCTTCCCGGTAGTCATCTTGTGCAAATAAAGGTGTCTCTTCATCACGGTTTCGAGAAGTACTAGCACGTTCCCCCTTGGAAAACCACCAAATGACACGTTTTCCAAACTCGCTTCTCTTTCTTCTTGAGTGATATCTTCCAAATCTATGTATAAATCCAAACATGACATTGGATCTACACGGTTCATGAACTCTACATGCGAATCATTCTTGATCTTCACTACACGCCTACCACCGGGACTATCGAAAATCAAAGAAAGGTAGAGTTTCACGTGTGCTGGATCCCAACCAAGTGTCATACAAATCTTACTAATCAATCCCTCATATGACAACCTTTCCTCAACAAACAAACCATCATCCGGCATATTCGAAAAAGTGTTGATGCTACCATTCTCTATCACATACTTGCTTGTATGATACAAATTAAGCATGTATGATACATTACGTGCCATTGATAACTGTTAAAAAAAAATCAATAACTAATCATTTCTTAATAACAAAATCAACAAATACACCATACATACTCCATTCATAATTCAAAAAACTTATAAAATACTAAAATACTTATAAATCAACTTCCATATCTCATGAACAACTATGATTTCTCATCTCTAACCTCAAAATCAACACCTAAAACATCTAAACAACCAACCAACATAAACCCTAATCTATCATACATCATTCTAACAATCAAAATAACACAAAACTAAACTAAATAACATGGTTTTGTAATCTAACCTCTTTCAAATAACGATTCCCACGTATTTAGAGGTAAGAATGCATCAAAAGCTCCAATTCGCCCTTGTTTGAGCTGCAAAAACAGAAAATCCAACTCAGTTCTCAAATGAGAATTGTCTGAATTTTTTTTGTTTTATAGCACGTTAAACTCGGATTTACGAAATCCGAGTCCATAAATAACTCGAATTTTTGAAATCCGAATTACAGTGGCCTCGGATTTCCTGAATCCGGATTTGGTCAATTCCGGATTATTTTATACATTTTTTGGTCCTCCAATTTATGGCACATGCCTACTTCTACCAACCAAAATTAAAGGCAGTCGGATTTCCACAATCCGAATTCGTAAAACAGGATTACGGACTTCCGGTTTTTGGATTCAAAAATTTTGCGCCGCGATTTTCTTTTTTTCTTTTTTCTTTTTGTACACTCGGATTTTGTAAATCCGAGTACTACTGTTCATTTAAGGAGTCCAGGTCCTGGACTCCTTATTTGAGTTCAAATATTTCGCGCCTCAATTTATTATTTTTTAATTAAATTTGGATTTTGAAAATCCGGGCGGAACTGTTCATTTAAGAATTTTTAAAAACTATTATTCAATAAAATTTATTTAATTATTATTTTATTAATAAATATAAGCTCGGATTTACGAAATCTGAGTCTTTAATTTTAATTAGAACTCAAATTTCGGAAATCCGAGAGATATATTTCTGTCCACTAATATTCTGAAAAATTCAAATTTGTCTACGTTTATTTTAATTAATTTTTTTTGGGAGAAAGCCCAATAATATCCCGCCAAAGAAAAAAAGTTCGACCCGCCAAACAATACCCAATTTCCTCTCATCGCTTCCCAGTTCCCTCTATGTTCACATTCAACTCAAATAATAATGGCTGCCGCTCAAACGATGACTACTTCCACTACCCCTGATTGCTCAACGAAAACCCAAAATTCTGCTGATCCCACTTCCAAATCTTACTTCCAGAGGACAGTAAGTTCTTTTCCCAACCTGAAATTCCAAAAAATTACGATTCCTTTTTTTTTTTTTTTTTTGGTTACAGAATGTTAATTATTCTGCTGTTTTTTGCTTCGATTGCTGTTCGAAGGTATGTCTAAAAGACTGGTGGTTGGTGAAGGCAGAAAAGGACTTCAACGGAAAGCGACTTGCAGTTGCAGGGGTCACTTCCCGAGAGTAATTGATAGCCCTTTTTCATTTTGCTTTGTTTAAATTCATATGCTTTTGTTTTTTATGGGTTGGCCTTGACCCATTTTGCTGGGATGGCTTGAAATTAAAATGATTTGTGGAATGGACTTTTGCGGTGGAAATGCAAGATGGTTTATTCGGTCACGTTAATAATATTCCTTAAGAATTAGACCGCATTTTGTATTAATCTTACTTCTTGCTTGAATGCTTTTGTGGAAATATCGAACAGTTTTCTTTATGCGGATAATGCCTGGTCAGGTTCGGTTGTTAACCTCTGCTTCAACTCCTTTTTGTTTTTTTTCCCGCTTATTACATTTTGATTTCTGTGTACTGTTTAACTTGAAAATTTTTCAATCACCTTTCCAAACTTGAAATGGCCACTACCTTGAAAAAGTTGACTGTTGACTACTTGACAGCATACAATCCTTATGTCTCTCGTGTGACCAGATTTCTGTAACAGAAGTGTTGTCAATGCTGTTACGTTTCTTTTCCAATATGTGATAGGAACCAAGCTGTGCGAGTGTTCTACACTGCTCCAATCCTGAGGAGACTAGATGTGTTTACCGTTGAGACGGTTGATGATACATGTGTCATTCTAAATGGCTTTTTGGACAAGGCTAAAACCCAAGAGAGTGGGTTTCCATCTGAGGCATGTCACAAATTCTTCTTGCGTTTGCACGAGAACCCTTTTTGGTCACTCTTTTCTGTTTTGAGTGAACTTGCGCAGAACTATATCATTTTGGAATTTTGAATTGTATATTTAAACTTGATTATCTCTAAAATTAGTTTCGTCATTAGGAATATTTATGATAGAAGAGAAATAACTAGTACTAGAGTAGCGTTTTCAAATCAAGTACAGTGAGTATATTTAATCCTTTCTATTAAAAGAAAAGAGGTAGAAACCTATGGAAGAAATTATAGATGTGTATTTGTGGAAAAGAGGTCCTCCTTCTTTGAATGTATTTAGCATGGGACTCTCCTCTCTATCTTCTGGCTGATCAGGTCCTTAGCTTTCCATTGTACTACTGATGATAGGAAAATAATGTTGTGTGCATGCTCTTATTACACTGATTGTTTGGTTTTGATTTTTATGATAAGCAAGTTTGCGTTTATGTTTAAAGACATTTCTCAATGGCCAATTAGTTAATTGTTAGGTCACAAATTGTACTATTAGTTGCAAAAATCTTGCTCATGGACCATTTTGAGTTGCCAAATCCACTGAGTTTTGCTTTTTTTGTGTTTATTTAGCATAGTTCTGATTTGCAATTCTGAACAGGTATCTAATCATTTTGTGTTTGGCTTCCCCCGTCATTGGGAGACCTATGCCCTTGACTGCTTAGAAGGAGAACCTCTCACCAGGGTTGCTACAACAAGTGTTAAGGATCCTGGGAAATCATCTCCACCACAAGGTATAGGTGCACTTTTTGTTAGGAACATTTCCTGTTGATAGAAGTATTTTAGGGAACTAAGTACTACTAATCACCCTGTTTTCATGACTCAATTTGCTCTTGATATGTCTCCTAAAGCTTCTGAAAGAATTCCTCATCCAGAAGATTCTTCAGCTGAAAGCCCAAAGCATGTTTTAAGAAAAAGTCCTCGTAACATTACGCGGAAAACCATTCTACCATCCCGGTTGGAACATAATGATGTCCATCCATCTGAGCAGAATGAATACCAGAAGGAAAAAGATGCCAACAGTCCACGAGTTCAGAGAAATTCTAGTTCGTGTAAAAGGAAAATAGCCGTTTCCCCTAACCATTGTGAGGAGATAAAGGAATACAACTCATCATCCAAAGCTGTCGTTGAATCAAGAAAGGTGGGAACGAGAAAAAGATCATCAGAAGCTGTTAATGCTGACCATGTTGGAGGGTCAAGGTCAACAAATTTGTTGAGTGAGTCGCTAAAGAAACAAAAAGATAATCCTCCTGGTCATGGTCACCTATCAAATTCCCAATCTAGTTTTCAAGCTACAAGGGGGAGTGGATGTAAAGATAATGCTACGCGCAATAACACAACGGATTCATGTTCCAGAAGTATCTCAAGTATTCCAGTCACTGGACTTGAGGATCTTGGTAATGAAGTAATTCCCAGAACTCCAGACTCCAGGTCCTGTACTAACGAGGGAATGAATACAGATACCAAGTGTTCAAGTGCAAAAGCTAGAAAATCAAATAAAGTACTGAATTCATCTAACATTTCCTGCAAGGCTGGAAATGGAAGGCAGAATAGGGCTGGTGCTTGTGAACTGAGTGTTTCTCAGAGTATCAATTTCTGCAAGACACGCAGACAGACCAGTGTACGTCTTGGCAATCTTATATCAACATCAAATCTGTAATGCAGCTTGTTTTCATGCCTTGTTTCTAAAATTTATATGCATCTATACTCGTATAATTATTTTTTTAAACTGATGGTTTCAATGATGCTGGAGTTCTTGATTGTCTGGTCCTGGATTTTGTATTGACGAGGAACTTTTTATTGGCTAAATACGTGGGCTTTTTTATTTGTATAGAGTGAGGGCCTTTCTCAGCAGTCCTTTGAACTGATCCACTTTCTAATTCTGAGTGTGTAGTGTAGATAATGAATTTTGGAAATGTGTCATCTCCAACAGTAAAAGTCAGTGATCAAGTTTGCTCTCTCTAACAAGAGATACTACGTATTCTTTTTCTTATTTGAATTCATTTATCATCCTCAGCTGCAAATCTCATGCGCAAACTACTCTTTGTCCAACTGGAGATTGTAGGTAGTGCTTTGTTGTTTGGGAATTTTTTGGTCATTTTTCATTTGTAAATAAATCGTAAAGAGTGCCAAAGTCAGGAGCTCCATGTTTTCTGGAAATGTTGGAATAAATTATGTGCCAAATTGTTTTTCTCGAATGTTTTGATGCAGAGTTTTTTTTTTTTTTTTTTTTTTTCAGATTCTCTTTATAAAATCCATCTTAATAGGTTGCTGATGTGTAATTTGCATAATTTTTAGCTTAATTCATTTTAATGTCCTTCTGAGTTCTTTGATCCAAGTTTTTGTAGCATTTTTGTTCATTCATAAGGCGGTCTTTGTGTATGTAGGAAAGCTATACTTCTAGGAAGGAGAAAGATGAATCTATTGTCTCGCCTGAATCTTTAAATCTTAACAGATCGAGATCAGGTTGGTAGATCTACCATGATTGTAACTGGTTATACCGTTCCCTTTTCTCATTCTCTCTTTCACTCATTCCTTGATGTTGTTTTAAGTTGTTTTTTTTTTTTTTTGAGTAAGATACTAGCATGAATTATCGTATATCTTCAGTTTCAGTGAGGCAGGTTGACCAGTTTCAAACTGAATAGTTTCATCATGTCGTCCTGAAATGTTTGTTTGATGGGAGAGTTGACTGTATTAAGTAATGTCATATAATCTCGCAGGAAGATTGCTTCTGCCTCGGCTGGAATTTTGGCGCAACCAAAGGGCTATATATGACGGGGTTTGTCAGAACTTTTAGGGTTGCATATCTTTGCATTCTACATTGTCTAAGTTTACAAATTCTGTTTACTGTGGTATTTATCTCATGTGCTTAACCATCATACTCAGAAATTGTGGTAAAATCTTTGTTGCAGTTTGCTTAAATGGTTGAATCAGTTGTGAGACAATTCTATAAATGAAACCTTCTGGGTTGTTTATGAAACCCTTTCTTCTTCTGGACAATCTTATATCAGACTTACTGTTTATATAATCATTTTCTTATCAATGAACTGAAATAAATGACTTTTCCAAGTTCACAAACACACTATTCTTTAGTGGGGTTTTTCTCCTTTTCTTTTATTAATTTATAAAATACTGTTGTTAGCAGTTTGGTTCAATATTGTGTTTGGTGTAAGGTTCACATTTGCATTGACTCGACCATGTGTCACACGTTGAAATACTAGAAGTGTTGGCAGCGTTAGTAAAGAAATTAAACTTCTTTTCAGGGCCGTAAGATTACATGGCTTAAAGATCTGCAAATCAGTGAGCCTTCAAAAGGTCTGTTGCTTTATGCTGGTATTAAAATTATGTACTAATCTCTTCAGGTCTTTTTAAGAACTCTGAAGGGAATATGTTTATGTTGTCTGTAAAATGTGCTATGAACTGACAGGAAAAATGTTGTGCTTCCTTGTTTGTGGTATCTCATTTATCTTACTTGTTAGCCTTTGGAAGCCAGACAATGATATGGGGGAAAAACTAGTGTGGCAAAATGTAATTAAATGAGAAACTATATGAATTCAGACAGGATATGGTGACTTATCTTTCAGTCAATGTTTTACTTTAACAGCTTGATATAGGACCCTTTTTTGTCTTGAAATCCCTTCCCCCCCCCTTCAAGGGATTGTTTTACTGATTTCTACAATTCTTTTTTTTTTCACATTTAGCTGCACGGAATATATTTTATTGTGCAATCTTTTGCCAGGGAGTAGGTCTGAACCTCGGAGAAAGAACTAACCTGCAAAAGAAGGTGGGCAAAAAAGCTCTTCACGAAAAGGTATGCATGTCATCATGATTGACTTCGGTGATAACAATTATCCTGATCTCAACAACAAATAGTTATAGAGAGAAATAGATGTATTCCATTTGCCTTTTCTGGGGTTAAAGCTATGCTTTCATTGCCTCTGTGCATTTTTGTTTTCATATCCCTGTGAAATACACTCTAACTTTGTTCACTTCTAAGCATCTGATGTGGGGGGTTTTCTTTGAAATTCTTATCTTGTTGATTAGATGATATCATTGATGTCGAGTAAGTGGTTTATGTATGTCTGTGTATCATGTATGTGTCTGTTCATGAAACAAATATTCGATTGGCTGCCTGGCTTGTGTTCCTTTCATGAATTTTCTTATTTGTTTGAAATTTCCTCACCATAAAAATGAGTGGACAACTTTCCGACCAGAAAGCTAAAGGGCTGAGATTCTTTAGTTTATGCAATAAACTATGCTTGTCTATATTCAGATACCAATGACTAACCTTAGAAGGTCAATGAACCAATACTGACATGTCTGCCATCGCTAATTTTGACTTGAGTTGAATCTAAAAATAGGCTTGGCTACATAAAAAGAGATTAACAAGCAGGGAAAAGAAAGCTCTTTACTTGGCCGAGATGGTTGGTTACACCGGCACTACAAGTTGATCATATTGTCCCACCAACTGAACCTAGGTTCTCTACACTAGTATGGCCGTGGGTTGTGTCAGTCATTAAACTCGAGGCCTGCGTGAACATAGTAGATAAAGTTTAAACTTCGTTCTATAAATTCAATATAAAACAAGATTAGCCTTTATAGGCGGATTTGTTTATCGCTTATGCTTACATGATCACACTGCATTGTTATTCTTCTGCTATTGATTTCCGTAACTCCTAATTTTTTTCAGTGTAGAATTCTAATTGATTTCATTCTTGGTTGATCTTGTCTTGATGATGACGGACATAGTTCAACCCATCCACAGTTGGCTGCAGATGGGCATGCTTGGAGGTGAACTGGTGTTGAAGCTAGTTGTTTCTAGCCGTGGGCAACTTTTTGTCAATTTCAGTTTGCCCCAATTTGGAAAGGTGGTGTGTGCATCTAGTGTTGTACCTAGGAGAACAACTGTATAACCTCCTTGTTTCGTACCCGTTGTTTTAGGGCTTAGAAATGCAGGTTCTATTTGCGCATGTTATGAATTTGTTGTAGGGTTTGTTTTGATCGTCTGATATGACAGATGTTTAAGAACTAGAAAAGGTTCTTTATATGTACTATATGGTTTAGTATTGGTGTTGGTTGGTTCTTTATATGTACTATATGGTTTAGTATTGGTGTTGGTTTTACAGAAATTCAACCCTGGTGGCACTTGAACCTTCAGAATGGCTGCTTAAGGCACTAATAAAGTAATAATGTCAATAGCTTGACTTTAACTAGAACGGAATAAACTACAGTAACGTTTTAAATGTTTACTTTGGAAATTTATTTATCTTTTTGAGATTCCTATTAAAAATAGTATAAATTCAAAAACTCTATATGGATTTTTTTTAGACAACGGTAATGTATAAAAATTATATTCTTTTTTAAAATAATTATCTAATTTAGATTTTAATTTTTATCATAGTTTGGATTATAAAAATAAAAATTCAAACTGAATAATTATTTTTGGGATGGATGTAATTTTTTTTAATTTGTTTCAAATAGCTGGTAAATAAATTAATTCTTTTTTTTTGGGGGGGAAAAAAAAAAACTCAAATAAGCCCATAAGCCCATTGCTCTCTAAAATCATTCAACCGGAAACAAATATGAAACTTTCCACCGCCACTTTAAACAGAACCACCGCGTCCCGCCTCTTCTTCTTCTCCCAAACTCCTGTTACTCCTCCAAGTTTCCAAACCCTAATTTCCTTCCCGACGTCTAGGTTTTCCCTGAGATTCTCTTCCTTCAATTCCGAAAAGCGACCGCTCGGATTCTCCTGCTACTCAGCGATGGCGGCATCACCTCCGCCGTCTCGATCACCGGTACAAGTGAGAGACACTATTGATTTGACGCCTAAGGAGAAACAAATATTTGATCGGCTTCTTGATGTCCTTCGTTATTTTAACCTCCAAACTCAGCTTCGTGTTGCCGGTGGTTGGGTCCGGGATAAGGTACATTTTTGCGGCCCATATAATTTGTGGCGCTTTTTATTTCCCCCGCTTTGTAATATTCTGTTGCCATATGTTGATTGAAGTCATGGAACATGAAATTTTTGGAAAGAAATGGCTTCGGAGTTTGTTCAATGTAGTGCAGTAGAATCTGGTAGATTGATATCTTTTCAACGTTTAACACCTTTAAGTTCAGATATCTTTTCTATTCAATTGTTCTACAACAGTATCTGAAAGTGTGTTGCAATCTTGTTCTTTGTTTATGAATGTAATTTTTTTTTCTTTCCTGTAATAAAGTTATGTAAGAGGAAAATCATAACCATTTTGTGGTAAAAGGATTGAAAAGATAATAAGAACCATAGAATAAAGCTGGTAATCTAGAAAGATAAGCTTCGGATTACTTGATACTTATTTCAACTCGAAGCAGGAGCATTATGAAGCTGTGGTTCTGAGAAAACCCTAATTGGATTTCTTTTTCCTGGAAAATCTGATTTTTCTATTGTCCTTCTAGCTGAAGGAACCACTACGACGCATTCTATTAGGTTTTGAATTTAGAGTTGGGCATTTGTTTATGGATAAAATGCTTAATTTTTGAAACACCACTGTTGTTTTCTGATGTTGGTTGTAATTTTATCCTTGCAGCTTTTAGGTAAAGATTGTTATGATATCGATATCGCACTTGATGATATGTTTGGGAGAGAGTTTTGCGAGAAAGTCAATCAGTTTTTGACATCTGTTGGTGAAGAAACCCAAGGAATTGGTGTTATTCAATGGTGTGTTTTCTGATTCAATTCGACTTTCTCTCTCTCTAATGTAATGTAGAGTGATATTCTTGAGCCCCTAATTGACAAAAAAAATTTCACAATTTTTCTCTGAACAACATAAATTTCAATGATCAAATTATTGAGAACACCCATAGTTTGGAGAAGGTTTAGATAAACTAGACAAAACCTTGAAAATTGTTCTTGAGAATTGAATCAGACACTTAAATATTTTTATTTTAACATTCTTTTACATAGTACTTATTCTGAAGCTCACTTTTAGCTTTTGTAATAAGTCTAATATGTTAATGCTTTTTGGTTCTTTCAATTTTTGCAGTAATCCTGAGCAGTCAAAGCACTTGGAAACAGCTAGAATGCGCTTGTTTGATGAGTGGATTGATTTTGTCAACCTAAGATCTGAAGATTACAGTGATAGTAGCCGTATTCCGACTATGCGATTTGGCACTGCAGAGGAGGATGCATATCGTAGGGATTTGACCATTAACAGTTTGTTCTACAACATTAATAAAAATTCTGTGGAAGACTTTACTGGAAGAGGAAAGGCAGATTTGAAGTCTGGGAGAATAGTTACCCCGTTACCTCCTAAGCAGACATTTTTAGATGATCCCCTACGAGTTCTTCGCGCTATACGCTTTGGAGCACGATTTGAATTTGAACTGGATGAGGAGTTGAAAGCAGCTGCATCTGATGATGAAGTTAGAGCTGCTCTAGAAGATAAAATTAGCAGAGAGCGTATTGGTCATGAAATAGATCTCATGGTATCTGGAAATCAACCGGTGCAAGCAGTGAAATACATTTCCGAGTTGCAGCTGTTTGGGTCTGTTTTCAGTCTTCCTTTGCAATTGGAGCCTTCACTTTCAGATGGATATGACAAAGTTTGTGTTGCACACATGGATTCTGCATGGAAGCTTTTGCAAGCAATTGAATATTCTTTCACTGCAGACCAGCAGAGACTGTGTCTGTATGCTGCTTTGTTTCTTCCATTCAGAGAAGTAGTATACAAAGACAGCAAAGCTAAAACATTTCCAGTTGTGAACTACATAATTCGTAATTCTTTGAAGCTAAAGTCAAGTGATGCAGAAACAATCGTAAGCTTGCATATTGCTGCTCAAAGGTTTGTTTCCCTGATGCAATATATGGTGTCAAATGAAGATGTACAGTTTGTTGAGGTTGATTGGAAAAGTGAAATCATTGATGTTCCTGCTGCTTCAAAACTTAGAATATTGGTCGGATTGCTACTTCGAGATATTAAAGATTATTGGCAGCCTGCACTGATATTGTCTATGCTCTTAAACACTGAAGATATTCAGTCTGGTACAAGTTTGTCTGAAGTGGATAAGAAGAAAGAGTTGTATAAGGTGGTTGAGGAATCAATTGTAAGACAAGGTTTAGACAAAATTTGGGGTGTTAAGCCGTTGGTCAATGGAAAACAGATCATGAGTGTATTGAACCTCAAGACCGGTGGACCGCTCGTGAGAGAATGGCAGCAGAAGCTGCTTGAGTGGCAGCTTGCTCATCCCTCTGGGACAGAAGAGGAATGCATTGATTGGATGACTAAAGCACAAAATAAACGAGCAAGGACGGAGTGACTATGGTCTTCAAGGCAGATTCTTCACTGTCGAATTCTCCAACAGAAGAAAACCTCTCTATATCCTCCCGCTGCCCTTGATCACTTGGGGATTCTAAGGCTGGAAAAATGGTGGTATGAGAAATGATAATGACCTAGTTTTAAGATACAAAATTAACAGTGAACTCTTATGACAATTCTTAGGCAAAGTGTTCGTTAGTAGAGTACTATTTAGCATGGTAGAGATTAAAAAAAAAAATTGTCACCGCAATACATTTGGGTATTTTAGGTATCGTCTCATTTGCGAAAGCAAACAAATCTGTTTTTGATTTTTTCGTTTTTTTTTTCCTCCCTACTGCTGCAATCATTAGTTGCGAGTTGCAAAGTTTTAAGGTAATGCAAATTGATTAAATGTAACAACCTCAAATCAAGAGATATCTTTAATTACTTACTCCATCGAAAGATTTGGTCAATGTGGATAAGCCGGGCGAGTGGAGGGAAGACATAGCTAAAAGCAACAGCAGATTAGAAAATTATTCGTGTGTTTAATATCACGGAATAAATCATTTGTACTTTTAGATTTGGCTAAAAAGATTTTGGATATACTTGTGTAAATTCAATCAGTCAAATTAGAATTAGAATTTCGTACTCTCTCTACTCTTTATTTAAGACATTTTAATTTGTCTTAAGTTTTATTTATTGTGTAAATTGAAAAAAAAAACTTAAAAATGATTATAATAATTGAGAGAAAATAATAAATGTGAAAATATATTTTTAAGATTTTATTTTTAATTAAAAAATACAATAATAAAAATTAAGGAGAAATCAGAATGGAATCAAATAAGAATAAGAGGGAATATTATAAAATATACATATTGTCCAAACTTGTACGATCACCATAAAATCATACCATACAACGTGTAAAAAGAAAAAGTTTAATTAATTCATTTATATTGTTTATTTAACTTTTGTTGATTTGGTTATCAAAATTCAAAATCATATCATTTAGACATGTTTTAACAACAATGAAAGAATTTAAAAAGTTTAATGATTCATTTATATAGTATCCATTTTATTTAATTTTTGTGGATTTGGTTATCAAAAAGGACATAATCATTTAAACATTAACAACGAACCCCAAGAAACATAATCACAATTTCTCATCCCCTGGAATTTCGTAAACACAAATAGCGCTCAGCTCTCTGCAGTCTGCACAGAGTTGCGGAGACAATGTTGATGTTAAGGGCTTCTTCAACCTCTGTTCGACCACCATTTTCAACGCCATATCTCTTCTCTCTCGTCTCTTCTTCACTCTGTCTCTCATCAACGGCGGTCGCTTCCGCTTTTCAATCTGCTCCGCTGCATCATCACCAGAAATCCCTTCCGATTCTGCACTGGAATTCTTCTCGCCATTTTCAGTCCTTTTGTTCCGAAAAATCGTTACCTTTAATGGGTTCGCATCAAATTCGTTCCAGAGGTCGGACAACAGGTTTGTACTTCTACATGAGTTGCTATTCTACCCCTTGCTTACTTGCTTATGTTTGTTAATTTTGGTTTAAATTGGACTGTACGATTCGGGTTCGGGTTTGGGGAGGGAGAGGGATCAGAAGATTCGGCATGGACAGAAAGTTAAAGAAACTGTTGCAGTGTGTAAGCAAGCCAGAGCAAAATATGGATGGAAAACTTTGATGATATTGCTTCCAGTGCGTTGAGGGAGTAGGCTTGAGTTTTACCTCTTTGTGTTTAATTTTTTGTTGAGGCAATAACATTGAGCACTATCTGATAAATTGTTTCCCTAATGTGATCTAGGATGGAGTGCAAAGTTTGAAAGTTTGAAAGTATATCTCTGCTGAAATTTAGACACTCGGCATGTAAGATGATGCTTTTGGAACAGAGTTTCTAAAATCTTACATTTATCATCTGGTTTCTTATGGATCAATTGGATGGTGAAATTAAAAATCTACTTATGCATGTTTCTTTTTGGTAGAAGACATAGTTCTGTTTTTCTGTATAGAGCAGTCTGTTCAGTATTACTGGAACTAAGAACAGATTCCTTAATCAAAAAGTGTTGGGATGGTTTTATGATATAATGTGTTTTTCCATATCTCTATTTTATTTCTGCACATTTGCTTGCTTGGCATAGTTTTTGTTACTCGGTTTTGTTTCTTAGTAGCATAAAAGAGAAAAAGAAAAGAGATATTTGCGTTAATCTTCTGAAATTACATCCTGGCACATTGTTGTCTAGCGACTTCAGTGTTTCTGCGACTAAGAACAGATTTCTTATTGAACAGTGATGGGATGTTTAAGGTTTGTGGTGACACTTTTTAGTCCCCAATATATGTTTGAACATTTTCTTTGCTTTGCTTCGACCTATCAGTTGGTATTTTGTGTAACACCATTAGATTCCGGTATGTGATTATGGCCCTATATATTGCATGCTACTTTCATGTTTATAATTATACTCATGTTTTGTTATTCTACTTAACAAATGTTCAGCCTCATATAGCGCCGGGACTGGAGATAGTGAAAGCAATGCTAGTCCTCGCATTGGTAAGGAGATATTGGTTCAGCATCTACTGGTGAAAGAAGATGACCATAAGCTTCTGTTGGAGCTACAAAGGAGAATTTTGGAAGGTTGTTTTAGATTATTTTGTGCACTGATCAAATTATCCTATCAGTTCAAATCCTACAAAAACATTTATTTAAGATTTCAGAGCATGTCAGTCACGGAGCTTTTTTTCTAAATTTAGTTTAAAACTAGAAAAAGATCTTGCCATTTGATTCAGATTAGGATTGTTTACAGCATTCCTGATTTTTGTGGTAATGAAAATCTGCGATTCATTCAGGAGAGGATCTAAGCGACTTGGCCGTGGAATATTCACTTTGTCCATCAAAAGAAGATGGCGGAGTGCTTGGCTGGGTGAGAAAGGGACAAATGGTATGCTGTTTATCTGCATCCCTATCTATAAGGTTCTGGACAGGATTGGAACTTTTGTTGATAAAAAGCATTGGAAAGTCATTTATCTGGTTGTCTTTTATTTAAGATATTATATATTTTTTATTTACAGTAGAAATATCTTTGAGGTTTTAACAATTAGACAGTGAGCATAATTTATTTGTGTGCTCATTTTTACCGCTGTGATTTTTTACATGAGTTAAATTTAACTCACCCATTACTGAAGAAACTTGTGAACTTGATAAAGTATTTCGGTCGTTGGGTTGAAATTATTAGTCCAGAATGAAACGAATAGTCGGTGCATCTTGTTTTCACTTGGTGAAATTGAAAGGGATCTTCACACATAAAAAACTAAGCTGACAACATAAACCAAAGAAGAGGGAACTCTCAACTTACACTAGTGTATCCCATTTTTGTCACTTATTAGTATTTAATAGATTGGGTGAATAATCACTTTGAAGTTTGCTGCTTGATTTAATCCTTTGAAGATTCTGGTGTATCCAAAATTATGTGCATAGTACAGCTGGCCTTTTGTCCATATAAAAAAATCTGTTATGCAATTCCAAGGTTCTGATTTTATATATCTTGAGTATGGATACTTTGTCGTCTGTAACTTACTACGTACTAATCTACAAAAATAATTCAGGTTTCTAAAGCTGGCATGACCATTTCAAGCTAGCTTATGCTTCTCTTTTAGGTTTTTTGTTGCAACAATTTTACTTGAAAATGTTTTTCTCTTTTTTCCTTGGGAAGGGGGCGGGTGGTGTTTAGAACTTGTTCTTCTGAATTTCCATGTGTAGTTGGTTTCTCCTTACAAATTCTCACCTCAAGTGTACTAATTTACTTTCAATTCAGTTTCGCGTCCTTTCCTTTTGTCACATTCCAGCTCCTTTGTATTCCTTTTGTTCCTTTCTCTCGTTTTTCCTTCTGCTTTTTATATCTTATCCATGACCTTATTTTCAGAATTTGTTCCAGAAATTACCAGTTAAGTTCTGTTACTAATTTCAAGAATTGTACTACACTGCAATGCCTAGTACTCATGTTTGAGAAGATAGGTCCGTTATTCTCACTGTGTATAGTGCATCACTTAAAATTCATAGTTTGGTGGCCACTTAGTTATTTGCAATGTAAGGATAGTTTCTTCGGAAGCTTGTAATGGTGATATAATGTTAATTATTTAGTATAATACATCGTGCTATAGAGGATAAGATTTGAACTTTGTCAATCCCTACTGATATTGCAACATGATGCAGTTAATCATGTCCTCATTAGGTTTATTGTGAACTAATATTATCATTCAGTGATGACATTTTTCTGTATCATATGCTTATCTATATCTCAAAACTTGTTAGGTGCCAGAATTTGAGGAGGCTGCATTCAGTGCTCAGCCAAACAAGGTCGTAAAGTGCAAGACCAAATTCGGATGGCATCTATTGCAAGTTCTGTCTGAGAGGTGAGCTAACGAACTTGAACTTCACAATGAAATAAGTGACGCTACTCGCTCTCACATTGCCCATGCTTTTATGTCAAGGGAAGAATCTATTCTTGAAGATGTTCAGTCCACTGAACTTCATAAAAGGATGCAAGATCCCTCTTTCTTTGAAGAAGCCCAGCTGATTGATGTTCGAGAACCTGATGAAGTGTATGTTCTTATTTGATTTTTTTTCCTTCTCTTTTACCAACCCCCGTTTGAAATTTTAGTCTCATTATAGTCTTACACAAAACTTGAACTTTCAAAAACCTTATTGAATATGTGTCCAAATGCTTTCGTTATATGCTACCTAATCAACCTTTTCATTTTTTCTCTTTTTTTTTTTGTTTTTGTTTTTTTGTGTCCAAGCATACTAAAATTGATTTAAATTTGTATTGTAGAAATCTTGCTTCAATCTATCCAATAGAGTTAATGGCCTGCAACAAAAACCATATTTATTTTGATTTCTGTTAACAATCTTTACTTCAAATGGTTTATGGATATTGTTCTTTATTTCCACATAACGAGTGCTAGTTGCATTTTATTTGGAATGATTCTATGTAATTTGAAACAGATTATCGTAAGCATGTAAGTAATCCGGTTTAGAAATGAATTTTCATCTTCTCAGTATAAACGGTTGGTGTACTGTCAGAGTGATTGCTCGAACTTAGCATCTGAAGTTTCATTTCTGAAGATCTATTGCATAATAACTGTATTCTGACTTTGAGCAAAGTTTTCATATAGAACAAATTTAGAGGTTGACTACTGAGCCGTAATATAAACATTTGGATTTATTATCAATTTCACTCCCAAATATCCCTTAGTATATTTATTTTTGTGGAAAAAAGATGTTCATGTAATTATCATTTCTTTTGTGACAGGGCCAAGGCTTCTATCCCCGGATTTAAGGTTCTTCCACTTCGTCAATTTGGAGATTGGGGCCCTCAAGTTCCGCAGATGTTTGATCCTCAAAAAGATACATATATTCTGGTTGGTGATATTCATATGTTTTCTTGTGTATTCGATTATTCCTTCGCATTGTGTATTCTAGTTGGTTGTTTTTCCTCTTAATCACACTAAATAGGCAATCTTTGTGCATATGGTGCTGAAAGTGAATCATGATTTGACCCCTTCTAGTCTTTAACTTGGTTCCTTGTATTTGGAGACTTGGAATGACATTGCATAGGATATCAAAGTCAAGGGGTATACTTGCCATCATTTTGTTTCTTGTTTCTGGGTTTTCGGTTTACTAATGTGATATTGGCAGTTGCAAAGAAGTTCCTGCCTTTTAAGTTTTCCTTCACATGTTCTAGTTTTAGCACGGTTAGCCCATCCTATCTTGCATGTCCTTCCTGACATTCTGGTGCCTCAGGATCAACCATAGCCTTCACTTCTCTGTGTACTAGTACACTTCTCTGTAATTGATTGGATAAAGATGTCTAACATTTTCCAACCATTTTAACAACTTTTAGGATATTGTGCCCCATATTTGCAATGTGTCCAATTTATGTTCGAATGGTATTTTTTTTTTTTTTTTTTAATCTTCGTACTTAGTTTTTGAAATATAACAGACCCTGTGTGTTCATGCTTGTGTGTTCATGCTTCTGACTACTGCTTACTTGTTTTATCTTATAGCTGCCGTTATGCTTGGTCTAATTTGTGTTGTCTTCATATTAAATGAATACATGTCCAGTATCCTACCTCATTTACATCATTAGTTATGCTTCTTTCATTGACTATCATGGATTCTCTTCTGAATGAAGTATTGGTTACAATGCAGTGTCACCATGGGATGCGGTCTTTGCAGGTTGCCAAGTGGTTGCAGACGCAGGTAAAGCTAGCCTTGTTTTTCATCATGTCATCTTGCGATGGGAGTTTTTACAATTCCTCCTTGAGCTGAATTATTCATTTACAGAAAGAAAATGGATTTCCAAAATTTAAACATTATAGTAGAATTTTAAATTGATGAGTAGTATTGCTAGGTGAAAAATATTATAGTAGAATTTTTAATTGATGAGTAGTATTACTAGGTGACTTATGGAAATAGTTGAATGAATGTCACACAGAGACTAAATATGGAAGAAATTCAATTCATTTGATGCCAAGATGTCTACAAATATGCAAAGATTGCCTAAGCGTTATTGTGAAGGAAATTCACATCGAGTATGTCGGAAATATTATGTGAATATTCATGGGTTTTGAGTTGTGTCTAATAACTACAAATATCTAGAATCCATCTTAACAAGTTGAGAATTGATGAAGGGTTACACATAAATGTTTGGATTCTATCCTTTAACCAAAAATGAAGGTTTAATAGGCTCTGGTGTAGGAAGACTAGGAAAACTTGAGGTTATATGTGAATGACATGATACAATATGCATTTTGGAAGGGAAAAAACGGGGGATATGGTCCATTTAATGAGTGCAGTGTAGTGAAATAAAATTTTAGGTGGTGGTGTTTTGATTTACACTCAATTTATTCAACTTACTTAAAAGTCTTACATCCATAGAGTTTGCCTTATTAAATAGATTGCTTTGGGAAGAATCCAAGTGCTTGTCTGGTAATGTATTTCAAAAATGAGCATGCAATTTTATTCTTTTAGTCTGGTGAATTTAAGTGCGATGTTAAGATATGTGATCTACAGTACGTGGGTAAGCCACTTCAGCTATATTAGCACAATCATTTCTTCTTTCATTCACCCACTTCAGCTAGAAAACTTGGCCTTCGGAAAGTGAAAATAATTAGGGTGGTTGCAATTATGAATGAAACATTATTATCACCAAATGCCACTCACTGAAAACCATGACAAGCTGGATTCTAATCAAATTTCTTCTGCACAGTCTATCTATCTAATGGCCATGTAAAAAGATGCACATCCGGTAGAAAGAGAGAAGTGGAAAAGGATTCTGTTCTGCCAAAGCTCTTTGACTACTACACCCCATCCCAATCCAATGATAGCTTATTTTGTAGCAATAAACTCTTGATTCAAACATCTCTAGTTTGCTGGGATGCCCGTTAACATTGTAAAGCTTATCAAACACGCATAGAAGCTCTATGCGGAGTTAACACTTAACACTCCCTCATGGGAGTTTCGTTGATTTTACATCGTATCTACCTTACAAAAAATATCTCTGAGTGTAATTGGTCAAATTCTATCCACCTTATGATTGAACTGAGAGCAGAGGAAATGAGAGTGTTGGGATTAATGTGAGAGTACGAATAGATATGATGTTATGGAAATAATTATTGTGAAAACAGTAAAACTATGTTTGCGATGGGTTTGATGTGCTCGAAGGATACCTTTGATGCTCCAGTAGGATAGCAAGGAAGATAGACTCACAAACGTGTTATAGAATTCGGAAAAAACCCTATTAAAAGACTTTCTTTGTTTAAATTTAAATGAGGGTGTATTAATGGAACATGATGACAACCCTTGGTTCATGTAGCCAACCCGCATATGGGACTCATGATTAGTCATTGTTGTAGTCTTGATACTGATTCTGGATTTGTTGTTATTGTTATAGTCGTAACATGGGCCCCTATATATACTTGAAACAAGTTTTTGCATCCGAAAGTTTGAGTTAGGTATTTTTATACATCTTCAATTCAAGAAGTCAGTCCTCTTCCCTGGATATTGGAGTTTTCGTGTGCATTGGACAACATAGCTGGATGACTTCCAATCATATGTATTTCTGTTCTATCGGTTCTTTTACCAAAAATACAGCTGTCACACTTTCGCTGCCTTCCTTCAAAGTTGTTCATCTTTCAATTTGGCTACCAAGCCAAGATCTCATCTTTTTCGACTGGCCCTTTTTGTAGAAGTGAAGTGGAAATGCCATATTAGCTAAAGGAAAAAACCAGTAGGTTGTTTCTCCAGTGTACAAGGAAATTGGCTATCAAGTCACGTAATTTTTTTTTTTTTTTTTTGGTTAAAAAATCTACTTTCTATTAGCAACGAGAATTCTCTGAGGTTGGTTTTTGAGAATTTGATGTGTACTGTTTTAAAGCCTCCATAAACTTCAGTCATGAGTTAGACTGGTAGCAATGTAGTTGGTTTTTGGCTTGTCATCCTGAATTCCTGATTGATACTCTTAGCAAGACTTCATCCTGGCAAAAATTTGATCTTGTTCAATTACTTCTCTGGGAATTTGAACCTCTTAAATTTTTCATTGTTATAAGCAGGGATTCAGGAAAGTATTCAATGTTGCCGGAGGAATTCATGATTATGCAGTCAAAGCTGATCCATCAGTTCCTCTCTACTGAATAGTCAATGGGGTTATGGAGTTTTGCGCCGTTCGGTTCCGCTTTTTGTCTGTTGCAACTATCCTAATCTTTGGTGTTTGAACTCACTGCTGTAATGAGGTGAAGCATTGTTGTTATTCTGGTAGATACTTTATACTGATTTCGTGGGACAAAACTTGATTAAATTATCATCTCATTGCATCTCTAGTGGGAAATATATTTTGTACTCTGTTTGCATCCTGATCTTTTGTGGAACAGACAATCCAGAATTGCAGACATCAGTAATAGAAGATTTGCTGTATGGTGTTGCATATTGTTCTATTTTCATTTTAAACAAAATAGCATTAGTTCAACCAATATTACATAATGAGGTTCCATCTCCAGAGATGTGAATTCGAGTCAAGCTTTGACTTTGACCTTGACTCGTTGACATTCCTAACTAATGGGAAGAGAGGAAGCAAAAAATGCAGGGAAATGTGGGGAGAAAATAAACATGTTTTGTGACTAAACAATGGATAATGCATGGGAGAGAGGTGAACGAACTGGTGATGATACATATGGTTGGGAGGAGAATCCTTTATTATTAGTTTATTTTAAATTTAAGATTATTGAATGAATCATGGAGTCATATAATGATTGAAGTCGGAAAACTCGGTGTCTCAAATCCAAAATAGGGGACACACATACCTAAAATGGATAATTTAGTAGTAGTATTGCTGTTTTAATTCTAGACCAAAAATCAAAACCACTTTGTATGCCTGAAATTTCTCTAAACCATCCTTGTCTTAAAAATTACACAAAATTTCTTCTTCAACAATCTATCTCCAATCTTCACCACCTCCCAAATGACTAAGTAAAATCCAGTTAGGACAAAAAAAAAAAAAAAAAAAAAAAATTCAATGAGAAACATAGTCCTACTATTTCTCACCATCAATCTTCCATTGGGAAAGACCACCTCATTGTAGCAAATCCTCCCCCGCATAATTGTTTCTTCTACCTCTTACCTTCATTTTTCTTTTGTGTGTGTGCGTCCATGGAGATCTTTTCTCTTTGAATGAAACTCTCTCTTTGTAGTTTCTTTTCAAGGCCCCCCCACCAAAAACCCCCTCCCTTCCCACTATTTTTCTTTTCTTCCCTTTGTTTTGCTTTCTCTTGGGGCCTTTCCTCCGCCTGCGCACACCACCTGCATCCTCCCTCTCCTGCCAAAAGGGCATACATAACATATATATACATACATATATATACATACATTTATCGCTCTTTCGTCGCGATTTCCTCCTTTGTTGTTTGCCATATTTTCGTGATCCTTGGGTATTTTCTTCAGCTCCCCACCCTTAGTAGTTCCTCCAAATGGGGAACTGTTGTTCTCGGGGCGCAACCGCGGAAGCTTCCCCTGAAGACACTAATAACAACAATAACAACCACCACCAAAATGACAATCACAATGATGCAGGCGAAACCGGGCAACCGGAAGGCAGCGATCATGATAATAACCACCCTCCCACCACTCCGCCAAAGACAACAACCCCGCCTTCGGCGTCTCCCTGTCGTTCCCCGAAACCGGCCAAGACTGCGCCGATCGGGCCGGTGTTAGGCCGTCCAATGGAAGACATCCGGACAATGTACACCATTGGTAAAGAGCTGGGAAGGGGACAATTCGGGGTCACGCATTTATGCACACACAAGCAAACCGGCGAACAGTTTGCGTGCAAGACCATAGCCAAGAGGAAACTGGTGAACAAGGAGGATATCGAGGACGTGCGCCGGGAGGTGCAGATCATGCATCATCTCACCGGACAGCCCAACATCGTGGAGCTCAAGGGAGCCTACGAGGACAAGCATTCCGTCCACCTGGTGATGGAATTGTGCGCCGGCGGAGAGCTTTTTGATCGGATCATTGCGAAAGGGCATTACACCGAACGAGCTGCGGCTTCTTTGTTGAGAACCATTGTCCAAATTGTTCACACTTGTCATTCTATGGGTGTTATTCATAGGGATCTCAAGCCCGAGAATTTCCTTCTTCTCAGCAAGGATGAAAATGCTCCCCTTAAAGCGACCGATTTTGGTCTCTCTGTTTTCTATAAGCAAGGTAAAAAGGAAGAGGAAAAAACTCATAGGCGGAGCCCATTCTTTCCTCGTCCTGAAATTATTATTCAGTTTCAATTTTTCATTTTTAGTACAAATTGAAACCCGAACTGGACAATAAATTTTGGGACGGATGAAGTACTAACATTTGGAATTAATATAATGGTGAATTCTTCCTAAATGGCAGGAGATACATTTAAGGACATTGTGGGAAGTGCGTATTATATCGCACCCGAAGTTCTAAAGAGAAGATATGGTCCTGAAGTTGATATTTGGAGTGTTGGTGTCATGTTGTACATCCTTCTTTGTGGAGTTCCTCCTTTCTGGGCTGGTATTTTTTTCTTTTCTTTTTTTATATATAATCGAACTGATTCAAATTATGATAATTTAAAAGATATAATTATGGAGTATTTCTGTATTAAGTTATGGGAAAGATTGTGATGATGAAAATTTCTGGGAATGTAGAATCTGAGAATGGGATATTTAATGCAATTTTAAGAGGCCACATCGACTTCACAAGTGATCCGTGGCCTTCAATTTCCAGTGGAGCCAAGGACCTGGTTAGGAAAATGTTGAATTCCGACCCCAAACAGAGACTCAGTGCATTTCAAGTCCTAAGTAAGTATATAATAAAAACTACATATCCTGTCCGCATGGATAGTCATTTCGGAATTTTTTTCCGGATATATTTTCATGAATAAATTCAAAACAGTCTCTCAGAAATGATATTATTTTTATAAAAAGAATAATATCGTGTCTCCATACGCATTTTATACTTAGAAATGTATTAACTATTTTTAACATTCATCTATAGATCATCCATGGATCAAGGAAGATGGAGAGGCACCAGACACTCCTCTTGATAATGCTGTTTTGGGCAGGCTCAAACAGTTCAGGGCCATGAATAAATTCAAAAAAGTTGCTCTTAGGGTAATGTACTAATTATCTATTTGTGTTTATATTTATATTTTCTCATACTTCTTAAAATGATAAAGATGATGTAATTCTTGAGTCTTGATTGTTGATTTGTTTCAATGAATAATAGGTAATTGCAGGATGCCTCTCAGAGGAAGAGATCATGGGATTGAAACAAATGTTCAAAAGCATTGATTCTGATAATAGTGGCACCATAACATTGGAGGAGTTGAAGCAAGGATTGGCAGAGCAAGGGACAAAGTTATCAGAATATGAAGTCAAACAATTGATGGAAGCAGTAAGTTCTTTTAAATTTTATTTTGCTTTACTTACCATTCCTTCCGGTCTAAGAACGAAAATCAGTAAATACTTGTTGAACAGATTTTATTATTATTGTAAAATATGAATTTATTGTATCATTGTACATGACTAGGGATCATTTCTAATCTTTTAATTGCATATATTGACTAAGTAACGAACTTGTTATTAGGATATACTATAAATTTTATAACTCGGTGTTACTTATTCGTGAAATTTTGGCGTGACAATCTACTGTTTCGACTGAAATTTGTAACCTTAGGCTGATGCGGATGGAAATGGAACCATAGATTATGAGGAGTTCATCACCGCAACAATGCACATGAATAGGATGGACAGAGAAGAGCATCTCTATACTGCCTTCCAATACTTTGATAAAGACAATAGCGGGTAAGTTTATTATTACAAGTTTTATTCAATTTCTTCTTTTTCGTTGATACCAACATTACGAAAATAAAAAAAAAGAACAGTTTTTGCTTGTAACTATAGAGTTAGAATCTGACATTTCTTCCAAACTGCCTAAATGATAATGTTCTATGGTGGCATTTCTTACCAAACGTTTTTTTTTCCCTTTTTGGGGTTCAAAAGTAAAGTTTCCATTTTGTATGCATGCAATTTCAGGTACGTTACAATAGAAGAACTAGAGCAAGCCCTGCGAGATTTTGGTATGAATGATGCCAAGGACATCAAAGAAATCATCTCTGAAGTTGATACTGATAATGTAAGTAAAAGAACTTTACTCTTCAATTATTTCCCAAAAAGACAATATGAGTGAAATGTACTTTGTAATGGTTCATTTTTCAGTTTTGAAATAGGAGACTCTAAATATTTTTACAAAACTTTTATTTTTGGCAGGATGGTCGAATAAATTATGATGAGTTTGTGGCCATGATGAAGAAAGGAAATCCAGATGCAGGAGCAAATCCAAAGAAGCGGAGAGATGTGTTTGTGCAATAAGATTTGGTTGTTTCATCTAGAACTTGATTTACGTTCTAGGTGAAATATGAAAGAATGGTGGCACATACATTGTATCCTTTAGTCTTCAATTAATTTAATTAGTGGAAACAAAAAAAAAAAAAAAGAGGGGAGGAAAAAAAGAGAGAGGAAAACCTTCTAGTTTTATGGTCCATGTGTATGTAGAAGTCATGGATAGTATTGTTTAATTCATGTGTTTGTGTATATGAATAACAAATAATGCCAAAAATATATGGAAGGGGAAATCAAGTCACACGATTGGTCCTTTAATTTCTATTTTGTAAGCATTGAAAATCAGTTTTAATGTGTGGTAAGGAGAGTTCATTTAACTAGGATTATTTTGAATTTTACTTTTCGTGAAGGGTGTCAATTCGAATTATTAGGTCAATTTCGAGTTATATATTCTTCATTGTTTTTTTTTTTAAAAAAAAATCAATCCCAATAGACCCCACTTAGATGTGAGTAAAATCCCCTTTTACAATCTCCTGGTGGGAATCAAACCTGATCTATTACCAGGAAATACAGAAACCTAACCATTAGGCTGTCATTCAATTCCCATATATATTCCTCATGCTTAATAAGATTTATTCGAACACAATTTTTTTTTTTCCCTTAAGAAAGTCCAATCGGATTAACCAATTCGCATAGTGTTATGTCAGAAATTGTTACTCCCAGTTTTCATTCATAATAAGAGGTATAGTTGAAGTGTCATTGACTTTCTTCAATATATATTATACTCCCTCTATTTCAAAATATAAGTCTTTTTAGACTTGGCACGTAAACTAAGGAGACAATCATCCAACAATTAATTTATGTGTTAAATATCTTTTTTACCCCTCATTAATTACATTGAAGCTATAAACAAGACTAAATAAAAATAGATTAGCATCATTTATTGAGGGTAAAGTCGGAAAAATAGTCATTAATTTGCCTAGAATTTGTAAAACGACCTATATTTTGAAAAATCTCCCCAAACCTAAAACGACCTATATTTTGAAATGGAGGAAGTAATTGCAGAATATTTTTGATAGTCTTCCTTTTTAACTTTCAAATATCACGGTTTAGAAAAAAAATAATTTTGTGAAATTATCATTGAATTATCTTTCAATTAATGAGCATATCACAATTTAAGTGTCATCAATGATCTTTGTTTCGTCTTCCTTTCCACAATACGAGGGGTTACCAGAGACTCATACGGACAGACCACAGAAGTAATTTGTTGTATAGCTTTCATATTTAATTTACTTTCCTTTTTCCCTTACAAAAAGTCGAACGGTTTTTCCCTTTATCATCCGCAAGTGAAAGTTCGCACGGTTACAAATTTAATTCATCGTGATTATTTTATGTCTTCGTCACAAACTACAAACTCGTTCTCTTTAACTTTTTTCCCATATTTCCTTCCCTCTACTCTCTAATCATAGCATTTCCTCTATTTTTTTTTGCATATTGATTCTGTTGTTTATCCCTTTGTCTTTTACAACTCTAGGCATTTGTAAAAAAATCATCAATATTGTTTTTATCCAGTAAGGTAAATTGATAACTTTAACCTTGATTTTCTGTTATATTTTGAGGTCCTCTCCTTTACGTTGTTCTAATTTTTCTTAGTTGTTGATTAATTCTCTCTTTGAATGAGCAATGTAAACGGCGTTAGTTATAGAGCACAAGAAGAAAAAGTTACCAAGACACATTATGAAATTAATCTCTTTTGCCCAAACAAACTATGACTCATAATTTTGCAGTGAACGTTTTATAACATTTGGTTTTCCATATAGGGTTTTGAGATTAGTTTTTTCCCATTAATTTATGTTGTAGTCCTTCTCCATTTAACTATATATTTTAGAAAAGTGTCACTACTAAATACCGATTGTTCCATTTAAAATAAATTTTTTTTACCCTTTCTTGGATTCTAGAATTAGAGCTATTTATGTTGCCAAAATTTCAAAGTTAAAAGTTTGGTCTCTTTTCCTTTAAAATTCCAATGTTGAATTACTTTCTCATAGGTCGTGTCTTCTAATAAGATTATTAAATTTTTTATTCATGCAAGTTACCTTCGAGATTATAGAGTGATGTCACACTTATATGATACAAGAAATTAGCAAAGGTACTACGAGAGCGCAGTTAATCCCCTAGTTTAATCTTATGTTTGAAAGAACTAACTATTTATTCTAAAGTTTCGTAACCTCCTTTTCCTTTTTTTGGTATAGAACTAGTTCACATGCAAAAAGGAAATGACTGGAAAAAATGGCCAATTTAATCCTAAAGTTTGACCCTATAGTCATTTTCATTTCAAGGTATTTTAAGGTAGTCAATTTCATATAAATATTTAATAGTTTGGTCAATTTCATCCTTCCGATCACAAATTAGTATTTTTCGACAATTAACTTAGTCAACCAGCCTATTTTTTGTTTTTTTTTTATAATCATTTTCAAACTTCAGGGTTGAAACGACTGGTTAATTAGAATGATTAACAAAATTAATTATTTTTGAAAAAATGGGAAAAAGTCACGTGACATCATAAGTTATTTTGATTACTCTCGAAAAAAGTGTATTTTTTGTGTTGGTCCCACATTGAACGCATTGAATCCTTAAATATATAATCTAAACTGAATTTAAAAAAAAAAAAGGAAAGAAAGGGAATAAAGAAAAAAAATGCAATTTAGATTATTTATTTAAAGGTTCAATACGGGACCCACAAAGAAAATATATACATGTTTCGTATTTTTTCAACAGTAATCAAACAAATTAATGATTTTACGTGATCTTTTGCCATTTGTTGTGAAGAAAATTAAGTTTATTAATCATTCTAATTAACTGGTCGTTTTAGTCATAAAGTTTGAAAATAATAATAAAATAAAAAATAGGTTGGTTGACTAAGTCAATGGGAAATACTAATTTGTGTCAAATTGACTATTTTGAAACACTTTGTGATAAAATCAACCATAATGCCAAACTTTAGGATTAAATTGGCTATTTTCCCGTCGAAAAAATATTAATTTGTGATTGGGAGGATGAAATTGGTCAGAGTGTTAAACATTGGCATGAAATCGACCACTTTAAAATACTTTATTATGAAATTGACTAGAGTTCCAAATTTTAGAATTAAATCGGCCATTTTCTTCTCGGTGAACAGCAGTTAGAATGAGCAGGTCAGCCGTTCAACTAAGTGATTACTCTAATTTTCATCATACTAGATAAATTAAATGTGGTTGGCACGTTCCCGTTGGCAATTTTGTATAAATACAATTCTAAATTATATTACATGAACAAAGAAATATATGCAATAACATTTTCTTATAGTATCATATTCAACAGTATAAATCTTTTCAATACACGAAACTCTTATATTCTTTGAAAAAAGAAAAAAAAAACTACAATCCTTGAAAGATGCCCTTGGGGAGACAAAAAAAAAGAAAAGAAAAAAAGAATCAAAGATACTAAACATGTAAGGTATAAGGTAAACTAATCCAACACTACAGTATGAGTAAAATGGGGGACAAAAAAGAAATATGCAAAGAAAAAAGTTTAAAGGACATGAAGATAAAAGAGGAAGGTAACTTAAAAAAATTGTTTATGAAACCTTTTATAAAACATATGAAACATTTTATGGAACAAGGAGTAATTGATTTTTTTTGAAAAATAAAATAATGAAACTATGATGCCATACTAATTTGCAAAATATAAGACGATTCTGACAAGCCGTCGTCACACTAGTCAAATATTAATTACCTACTTAATACAATTACTAGTAGTAAAGTAGCAAACATGGTCGATCCCACAGAGAAGGAATACTAATTACCAGGTATAAATTACTCCTATTATTATCTAGATAAATGATGATATCAGATTTATAAAATTTAAAACTAAAATAAATAAAATAAAAACAAATAATATTAATTCAAATAATCAGACAAAGAAAACCTAGGACATTGGGTTCACCTACAGAATATTTGGTTTGATTCAATTCATAAATATCTGACTTTTAACTTCTATTAATCTCACAACGATTCACCTAATTAACAACTATTCACCGTCGTGATATAATTCTCTTACTCTAATTAATCCTATGACTACTGTCGTGACTATAGGAAATAACTAGAGCATATTAAGAACTTAAGAATCTAACGTTGCAAAGGTTGTGTTCCTACTGTCGTGGTTCACTACCTAAGTCCAATATTCCCATGAACTAATATTGATTTTCAACTGTCGTTCCATCAATTAATATCTTTAAACATGCAAGTAGTGGCCAGTTACAAACATGGAATAAAAGCAAGAATATTAAATATTGATCAATGGAAAAATCAAATAATAATGAACCAAATAAACCAAATAAATTCGGTGGCTATACCCAAGCCCTAGATTAAAAGAATTTAGTCACTAAACATTATCAAAAATAATTCAACAAAATTTAGAGACATAATCCACACAAAGTCTGAAATTAAAGGAATTAAAACACCAAAAATCCGGAAGAAAATCATGGTCAAAAACTTGTCCAGCCGTGAAGCAAATCCGAAGGTTTTCGTCCCGGAGTTGATTCTTGCTGCTGCTTGCTTCTAGTGCGTACGGTTCCTCTTTCTTCTGGGCTGATGGTGATGAAGTTTGAAGGTGATGATGCTGCCGGTGAAGGAGGAGATGATGGTGGTTTGCTTCAGTGGTGAGTTTGGTGACTGCGCAAAGGTGAAGGAGGTGGAGATGTAGTGCGTGGGAGTTGGGGCTGGCAGGGTTTGGGCGTGGAGGTGGAGAGAATGGTTGATTGATGGTGTATGGTGATGATGGAAAAGCAAGGTGCTGCGGGGGTGATGGAGGAAGTTGCAGTGGTGGCGATGGAGGAAGGTGGAGGTCGGCGGGGGAGAGTGTTTTGCAGCCGGGAGGATTTCGGTCAAGTTCGGTCTAGTCTTGTTATAAAAATAAATCCCTAATTCTCCTTTTATAGCCTTCTGTCAAAACCCTACTTCTTGGAGAGGAAGAAAACTTGTTTCCCAAATAATATCGGGATTAAAATTCTTACCAATTCCAATTCCAAATCAGCCACAAGTCATTGAGCTCTCGGCCAATTTTCCAAAAATCAAACAAAATTCCGAAATTGCTTGTTTAATCCTCTAATTTTTCAAGTACTTCAATTTCTTCCGTGCCAATTTATCGAATCTTCAATTCTTCTTTTAAGTTATTTTTATCTTCATTTTAGCCCAAAATTTCAACAATTCCTCCTTTTGAGTATAATTCTTACAATCAAATATAAAATCACATAAATAGTACATTTGTACTCAAAATATTGGCAAAATTTCACATAAAGGGATATTAAAAATAGGTAAATTATAAGCAT